TTTTTTCACCGCCAACTAGTAAAATTATAAAGTTAATTAAGCATAATAAATGATTCCCTACTGTGATATATTTTCTAGGCACAAATGCAGCTTGCTTCAAAAGTATCGTATGCAGGCTGATTCAAATTCGAGGGCCACCGTAGGGATCTCGGAAACTGTGGGTGGTTTTAATTTGGCGTATTTTGATGCTTAACGAAGTGCCGTTTTGAAACTGAAAAAAATCCGACTATTTTTGGAGATATCCGCACAGAAACAAGTATTCTGTGTAAATAAGACAAATGAATTATTTCCTGTCATTAAGATTAAAGTGACACTTAAAACAATCTGTTTGAAATCAATTGTTTATCTTTGTTTGTTAATGTAAAAATACTGATTTAATCAAAGTAATCCTCGACATAATAAAATAAATTTTTTCTCATTTGTCACGCCCATCTTGGATTTTAAAAAGTAAAAATGTGGTTGAAAGTTACGGTATCGTTCTGATACAACCGGAAAAGCGGCCATCTTGAAAATATTTTCAAATGATTCCTTTTGATCGATTTTTCAAAAAACGTAATAGATCCCGAATCATAATTAAAAACCGTTCCAGAGCTACTTCTAATGGTCCACTTAAAAACACCACCCTGTATCGTAAGCGCTTCAAAATCCCTATACCACTCGAATTAAAAGATAAAATTCAATTATTTATTTGACCGATCTCATATACATTACAGAGAACAGCGTATCGGGTGTAAAAATTGTATGTACCGGGTGACCCCGGCCATATCTCGGGAACCGTTCGTCGTACGACTTGGGGGTAAAAAAATTAAAATTATTGGGTAAATCGGTTACGAAGAATCGCTGGAAAATATTTTCAAGTTCTAAAAATGTCCTCCAGAGGGCGTAACTGCCATCTTTAATTTTAAAATTGCATTTTTTTAAATTTCGCATAATAAACTGAACATTCTTTTTTCACATTTTTAAATAGAACCAGTTTATCTATCATTTTCGTAAAAACAAAAACTCAGTTATTTCAAAAACAAAGATGGCGTGGGGCGTTCAGTTGTTTTTGCAATAACCTGCTTTAACTTCTTAACCGTTTAACCGATTGTAACAAATTTGGTATCGTTGAAAAGAGCATTCCTTGGCAAACAAGAATCAATCAAAATATAGTTCATTTAGTTGAATCTTTCTCCGCCAGGGGGCTAGTTTTGACACTGATCCAAAATCCTAAAAAAATCAAAAAAATCGAATGGAATGATATGACTTTCTTTATGAAAAAGTAGCGAAATAACACCCAAAGAGGTCAGTGAAAACCGTTTTTCAAAATCTCGTGCCTAATCTCAAATATTGGGAAAATGAGATTAATTAATTAATTAATTAAAATGCTTAAATTAAATTAAAATTATATATTCACGTGCTAAAAATTCAAAGAAATACTGAAATAATATCCCATGCGGTGTTGCCAATGTTCGTGTATTTTAGTTTTTCCATGTATTTATTTTGTCTTCTTTTTTAGCGCATTTTTTTAAGAATTCAAAAAGTCTCTTTCAGAGTCGCTTCAGAATCTCTAGAATATTTTTCTCCAAAACCCTTTTAATAGGTATATTTTCACACTGTTCAGAATATCTTACATTTCTTTAAAATCTCCTCAAAAGTTTCTTTGAAATAGTTTCAAAATCTCATTAAGATGTAGGTACTCTTATATTCTTTTAAGACCCCTTTCCAAAATTTCTTCCAAAGTTTGTAATGTTCGTAATCTACTTTCATAATCTTTTCCAAGATTTGTTTTGGAAATCCGGGACCTCTTTAGAATCTGTCCTAATCTTTTCCATTTCTCTTCAATGTATTTTTAGAAAATTCCAATGAAGTTTTTTAAACATTTGTTATAATTTTATTAACATTTTCAGGATTTTAAAGAAAATTCTTTCATCAAGATTAAGATTTAAAGAAACTTTTCAGAAACACTGGAACCTTTCGAAAAAGTCCAGGGGAAACTTCAAATGGCTCCTTGTAGAACTTCAAGTAGATTTTTTATAAAGATCTTCCATATAAGTCTGGAGAATTTTTTATGGAGGTAAAAGTGGAAAATTCACTTTGATGTATATTCTAAGAATTTATGAAAAAGCTATGAAAAATTATCACGCCGCCAATTGCTTAGGGTTAACCTTTAGAAAATATCCTCTTTCGACGCCCCATTTTCGATCTCCAATATTCAGATCCTAAGGTTTGACAGCACTGGCAGATACATCTAGTCGAGACCTTTCATTTTCATTTTGTGAGTACCATAATTCTCATAATTAATGACAAGTAGGTATAACTTGTGCAACACAAGCATGATTCTAGCTATTGCTAAAATAGCTACCTGTGTTGATCGTTATTTAATTATTCAAAATTCAAAATTTGGGCGTATAGTTAGCCCCCCACTTTTTGAATTTTCAAAATATTTTTATTGAAATCGTTTGTTGGTGTTTGTCGGTTACATTTTTACGTTTGTTGGTTGATCGTTGCTTAAGTATTTAAAATTCAAAAATTTGGGCGTATAGTTAACCCCCCACTTTTTGAATTTTTAAAATATTTTTATTGAAATCGTTTGTTGGTGTTTGTCGGTTACATTTTTACGTTTGTTGGTTGATCGTTGCTTAAATATGCAAAATTCAAACAGTTTGGCATATAGTTAACCCCCCCCCCCACATTTTACATTTTCAAAATATTTTTATTGCAATCGTTTGTCGTTCGTTTGTTGGTATTTGTCGGTTACATTTTTACGTTTGTTGGTTGATCGTTACCTACTTAATTATTCAAAATTCAAAAATTTGAGCGTATAGTTAACCCCCCACTTTTTGAACTTTGGAAATATTTTTATTGAAATCGTTTGTTGGTGTTTGTCGGTTACATTTTTACGTTTGTTGGTTGATCGTTGCTTAAGTATTCAAAATTCAAAAATTTGGGCCTATAGTTACCCCCCTTCCACTTTTTACATTTTCAAAATATTTTTATTGCAATCGTTTGTTGCTCGTTTGTTGGTGTTTGTTAGTTACATTTTTACGTTTGTTGATTTATCGTTGCTTAATTATTCATAATTCAAATACTTGGTGTATAGTTAACCCCCCTCCCCCACTTTTTGAATTTTCAAAATATTTTTATTGCAATCGTTTGTTGGTGTTTGTTAGTTATATTTTCACGTGTCTTGGTTGATCGTTACTTAATTATTCAAAATACAAAAATTTGGGCGTATGGTATAGTAAAATTGTATTTTGAATAATTAAATAACGATCAATCAACAAATTAAAAATGTAACGGTAACAACAAACACCAACAAATAAAAATATTTTGAAAATTCAAACAGAAGGGGGGGGGGGTTACTACACGCCAAAATTTTTGTAATTTGAATAATTAAGTAAGCTTCAAACCAACTAACGTAAAAATTTAACTAACACCAACAAATGACCAACAAACCATTGCAATAAATATATTTTGAAAATTCAAAAAGCGGGGGGCTAATACATACGCCCAAATTTTGAAATTGAATAATTTTTGGGTTGAGTGGAGGAGCAGGGAGTAGTAATTCTTATTACAAACTCCGCCCGTTGAGTAGTGAGAGTAAAAAAAAATTATTTTCGGATAAGGTGTAGCTCAATAAAGGCATTATTATTATTATTGTCGGTGTTTCTTGTGGTTAACTAATCTCACGGATTAAAATCAAGTAAGGATTAGTGTCTGTGCCTGTACGTCGCTCGTCTGGTGAAGTTATTATTATTATTATTGCAATAAAAATATTTTGGGTAAAATTCAAAAAGTGGGGGTCTAACTATACGCCCAAATTTTTTAATTTTGAATTTTGCGTGCGGCAAGCTAAAACCTAAATTTGCAAATAGATAAGTATGTGGCTTAGTAGTGAAATGGTTAGTGGCTCACTGGCGCTGGTCACGGAAGAACTACAGTTTCAAAAAAGAGCAGATGGACAAACGGACCGACAAATCGTTAGTAATAGTGAGCTTTGTAAAAAATCACTCAAAATTGTAAGCCGTCGGAAACATATGTTTTTCTCATATACTTAATTTTCGCCTCCCCCCCCCCAACTTCTTGTGACTGAAGGGGGGGAGGGGCAAATACCAACCAATAGGTAAATTCGCTTGGTTATTATATTTGAAATATAGGAAATTAATAAATGCTGAGATCTGAAACTTCAGACGGACATGAAAAAAATGCTCAAAGATGAAGCACCGTGATCTTGACGTGCTTGCTTTATGCGATGAAATTGCACATACGACTCTTGCCTAATAAAGCGAAAAATTTGCACGCCCGATGTGTTTCTGTACCTGGTTGGCTAAGTAAAATTGCTACAACGCATCGGTATTATTTTCGTGTTCTTTTGACCATGCAATACTTACTACTGAAAACGCGTAGAAATTGCGAGACGGTTTCTGGTTTCGCATATTCAGCGCTATTTCTCGCTCTAATTGCCCTACAATATTTGTCAAGGTCGCCTCTACTCGCACGTTAGTTTTTGTTTCAAACTGCAGCGTTTAGAAATGATTAGCATTTCGCTCGCTTTCTTCGCGCGCCGCCTCTGATCTCAGTGCATTGATCTCCTCCTACCTCCCAAAATGCGGTTCATCGAGCCTGAGATGGTTGCACTCGACCGATTGTATATTATTTCGGTGTCAGGAGGTGCAGTTATTTTTAACGAGCGTTTTTCGTACACAAAAAACCAGGAGCTGCTCCGCGGGGGTTGTTCACACCGCATTTTTTCGCTTACGCGCGCCGATATTTTTAATACCCCATACGACCGATAAGGACGGGAGGGCAACGCTAGACTCGACGTCATCGTCCTGTCTAGTCGCCAAAAATAATTTTTTCCTGCATTCGTACGCGACCTGTCCCAATCTGCGAAAAATTGCGCAGTAGCAGCGCGATGAGCTGTTTTCGGTCGCTTTCTCTATTCACTTCTATCGCTCGACGACGCGAACTTGTTCCGTCTTTGTTGATGTTATTGTTTTTTTTTGTTTGTTGTTTGTAAGTCGGGCTGACCGATGTTTTTTTGTTTTGCAGGACGGGGGCGCGCGTGGAAAGCGATCGGAAATGGAGTAAGTATTAAAAATTAATTATTCCAATAACCGGTTTGATACGAATTGCAAAATTGGAAATCAGTGGCGTGCGCCCGTTCCACTTTGGGCGAAAATTTTATCGCGGACAGCGACGGATGAACTCAAGGTTAGTAATTGCGTTGAGGTAATAAAAGGCGGAAGTGTGCGTTTTTTTTTTCTGTTGCTGTGGCTTTACGTTCCATTAAAAACGGCGATAACCCGCACCGTTGAAGTGCTCGCCTGCATCACGGGCGTTGCTTAGCAACAGCCACTGGGAAGGCGCGAGAGGTGTGTACGTTCCTCCTTCAGTGACGTCGCGAACCCGTCGCTCTGTAGCTTGCGACGGAACAGAGGGCGCTTGTGACTGGGAAACTTCTTGGACAGTTTCACCCTTAGCACGCTTGCGTCACAGTTCTTTTTTAGGCAATTTGTTTTTGATACCAAAAACGCACACGCACGTTTTCAAATTTGTATTTACACGCACGCACGTGCGAAAAAAAAATGCGTTTGGGATTTGTTGTGCTTTTTGTGCTTGTGCGTGCGTAAATCGGCACGCCGCTTTGGTAAAATTCGTACCTACGCAAATAAGTTTATCAAAAGTCTGGCTAACATCCGGGCCTTGAGAGTGTGTGTGTGTGTGTGTGTGAATAGCGACGGTTTGCGGTTTTGCGAAAATGGTGACATAATCTCCGTGTAAAATCGATGACCTTGAACTCGTTTGTAGTTGGAGAGAACATTTAAAGTGTGCGTATATAAATAGGTAAACAATCGCCGCCGCAACCGCCGGCCCTGTGTTCATTCACCTGTTTTCGCATTTATTAATGTCGAGGTCGCCCCTTTAACCCGATTAAGGCTGCGGTACGGTGCGCGCGATTTTCCGAACCGGCCGCGTATGTATAATTGCATATTATACGATTACACGGGTCTCGAGACTTTCCCTCTGTTATCTTTCATTGTACGTATTGGCAACGCCGCGTCTGGCTGCGAACGCCCTTGGAATCTGTGCGAGTTGAACAACCCGCGTGTCTCCTCCTGTCCCCCTCGGGTCGTCGCATGCTCTCACCGTGGTCCTTAAATTTGACACTTTTCCATCTTCATCCCCCAATTAAGTAGACGACCGACGTCGACCTGACCTCTCGTTTCGGACGATGTGCAAATGAGGCTCAACAAGTGTAGGCGCGGCACACTGCGACGCGTGTTGCGTAGGTCTAGCACATTTTTCGAGTGCGACGACCATTAAAATTTCCCCTGCACGATTACATAATAATAGTAAAGACCGGCTGGCTAAAAAACTTTCACCCGATTGCGTCGTTCGGGCTCGCCCGTTCCTAAACCAGACTAGACAGATAAACTCGCAAAAAAAAAACACTCACCGCGAGCGGTGGCCATTGACCCTCCGGAAACGCTCCGGTCATAGGCGGCCTCGTCTGCTTCGATTACCTTGGCCCACCTCCGCTTACTCTCATTATCTCTCTTTTTTTTGCAGATTCCAACGGATTACCGAAGGATCTTAGGGGGGAACGAACGCATTTTTTTGGACTAGCCGGAACCCGTAGATCCGAACTTGTGTCGTTGTTTCTTATCACAAGTTTGTATTTACAGGAACCTGCTGGTTGTATGCAAGTCGGCGCGCGAATCTCGTCGGCCCGCCGGCGCTCACGGAGGAGAAGGCTTTTACGGCAGTGTCTGGTTGAGGTAGTAGGTTGTATAGTAAGTATTACACCGTTTTGGAGTACTGTACAGCCTGCTAACTTTCCTAGACTCTCGCCAAGTGCAACGTCCACCGCCGATCGACGTCGCTTACATTTTTAATACTCTACCTACACACGTTTGTAATTTAAGGCAAATTGTATCGAATGGCTCAATTTGCCTGTTCCCTGAGACCCTAACTTGTGATGTTATGAGAACTCTCACAAGCTAGAGACTCGGGTATTGGCGGATGGCAACTCCGCCAACTTATCACTGAAATGTAAGCGAACTAGGTGGACAACAGCTTGTCCACTTGTTCGCAGATTATGTAAACTAATTGTAACTTTTGTAATGATGGTGGCCTATATAGCGTGATGAAATGAACAATTAATGCGGAAGACTGATTAGAGCACCATCTGTTGAGGGCGTACGTTCACTTCTGAATACGTCATTTCATCATGCTAATTTGACCGAATTTCGAATTTATAAGCTGTTTTGATACGAAATTTAGTGCACATTTATTTTTAACGTTACGTCATGTTCTAATACACAATTCGGAATTGAGTGCTAGTTTAGTTTTAGATCTCCAGTGAGTAATTTAGCCAAAGGATGTAAGTAGAGATCCTAGTACCTAGTGCTTGTTGAATTATCAATGTCTTGAAACCAATTATTAAATAAGCTCCGTTTTCTATGTGTTCTCTCGTTGCTGAGATCTAAGGCTGTACTATAACATAACATTAGACTAATAATTTCGTTACAATATTTTTTTGTAATTTGTCCACTGTACCTGTAAATACAGGGTGTTTTAAAATGAGTAGGATAACATGGCTATTCAATGGACCTAGAAAAAATTTTCAAAATGGCGGGGTTTTCGAGATATTGACAACTTCCTTATTTTAAATAGACACCATATTGGATTTTTACTCAGTTTGATACAGTTATCATTCGAATAAGAATTAAAAACATTACAATTTTCATTTTTTCTTCATAGTTGGCCATGGAAACAGCAAGCAATTGACATTTTGCAACGTTACAATTGTCTGGCCGGCGAGTAGTTTTATTGAAGAATCAATTAACATAAAAAAATATCATAACGGAGTTTAAGTAAATGTTTCATAATGCATTCCATTATTAACTAAGCACGTTCGGCACCGTTTAGTTACCTGGCGCAGTGAAATGTTACATTGCAAAATGACAGTGGGCCCTCTATGCTAGTTTTGTTTTCATGGCCAACTGTGAAGAAAAAATAAAAATTGTAATTTTACCCATGTTTATTAATGATCCTCGAGATCTTTTATAATTTTGTATTGCTGTCCGGCCGCCCGTCTGTCCGATGTACACTATAACTTTGTGTAGAAACGTCAGATCGCTTTGAATATTGATGCACATGTTCTTCAGGATATAATAGGTACCTACCTAAGAAAGGTCGCTATTGTTTTTCGGCTACGTAGACAAACGGGCCAAAAAGTTACACCTCGAAATCTGTTCAAACTTCCAAAAAAAAGTGTTTTTTTTTAATAATCGTTACAAAGAAATGTGCGGTTTTCTGTGTTAATAAATATTCCTTAAATCCCAAGCAACTATGTAGATGAATTTTAATAAAATGTGCGTATGTGCAACCGAACTTTTGTGTTTGCGCAATCCTAATTTTTTATTTATTAAGATATTTAAATGAAATTTTCTATGCACGCACCTCGAATAAAGGTACCTATATGTATGAAGATCTCGAGGATAGTTCGGTATTCAGCTGTATCGGATTTTTTTATCTGAAAGATAACTTGTTATACATAGTTGGAAAAATAAAAAAAATCTGAATAAAACTGAGTAAAAATTCAATATGGCGTCCATTTAAAATAAATAAGGAAGTTGAGGTCAATATCTCGAAAACCGACCGTTGAATTTATCCCATTAAATCTTGCAACTTTTATTTGAAACTTTTCGATAGCTCTTATAGTTTTTTTAAAAATTGCGATTTTCACTTTTTTCCAATTATCTAAGCAACGATTTATTTTTTTCCATCGGCATCAAAAGCTTCACGACTTTACCAATTTAACCGAACCCCCCCCCCCCCCCCCGTATGCAAATTCTGAGACCAGTTGGTAGCGGCATGTAAAATTTGATGGCCATCTGGTACACCTTCAAGGTATAGGCTACGGTATTGCAAAAAATTCCAGGGCTCTAGGACCATTCCCCTAAAAGTAGTTCGAAACCGCAGAAGTGGTTCCAGACGGACGGACGGACAAAACACAAACAATAGCACGTTTTTTAAATTTTTTTTAGTTCTTAAAAAATGCGCTAAAAAAGTGATGCATGGTATTATGTCACTAAAAGCAGTGGCGGCGAAAAGGGGCGTAAGTCAAAATTTCCATCGTCGATCGATGCAGCTTTGAAAAGTATCCACGAGAAGTGCAAACCGCATCACTATATCTCTTTTAGGTCTCAAAACATTAAAAACACGCAATTTGGAACACCCTGTGCATATCTGTTTTCTACGGAAGCGTTGAAGGACCATCAACCTTTTTTTTTATCTCGACCGGTCGCCTTTTATCTCGACCGGTAGACTTCTTATCTGGACCGGTCGATTTTCTATCTTGACCGGTCGACTTTTGAGTGCTAAAGTGTTTTCTCTTTGCTAAAAAATATACGGAAGCGCGGAAGGACCATCAAACTTTTTTTGTCTCGACCGGTCGACTTTATCTCGACCGGTCGACTTTTTATCACGGCCAGTCGACTTTTTTCCTGACCTGTCGACTTTTTATCTCGACCGGTCGACCTTTTATTTCGACCGGTCGATTTACTATCTCGGCCGGTTGTTTTTTTATTGTTTTCTTGTATTTTGCTCTTTTAAGGTATTATATTTTTAAGCAAAGAGAAAACGCTTTAATAGTCAAAAGTCGACCGGTCGAGACAGAAAGTCGCCCGGTCGAGATAGAAAGTCGACCGGTCGAGATCAAAAGGCGACCGGTTGAGATAAGAAGTCGACCGGCCGCGACAAAAGGTCGACAGGTCGAGATACAAAGTCGACCGGTTCAGATAAAACAAACAGTTTGATGGACCTTCAACCATTTTTTTTTATCTCGACCGGTCGACTTTTGACTGTTAAAGCGTTTTCTCCTTGCTAAAAAATAACACCTTAAAAGAGCAAAATACAAGAAAACAATAAAAAGACAACCGGTCGAGATAGTAAGTCGGCCGGTCGAGGTAAATAGTCGATCCAGGGCCGGCTTTAGGCGTAAGCGGTGTAACCGTCCGCTTACGGCGCAGACAAGAAGGGACGCAAAATTCCTCAAATTTAATGACTGCTGAATCACGGATGTAAAACACCGACGGGGTTTTCTATTTTTAAGATAAAACGTTCACGATATAACATAAATTGAAAAAATTCCTAATATGGTAAGAAATTATGTAGCGAATATTCCAGAAATCCCGATAGATATCGAGGCGCCACGAAAGATTAGTAATCGACGATAAAGAACAAAGTGTTTAGTTCTAGAATGTTTAAGACCATTCAAGAGCACTCGAGAATACTCAAGTTGGCTATAAATCGAATTGCGTTTCGGAAAAGTTCCAATTTCAACACCGAAGTAATAAAAAACTGTTAAAACTGTATTAATGTGAGTGATAAATAATATTTGGATGTTATAAATCAATTCATTTCAACATTGTTATAAATGTATTGTTAATTAATTGTAAATAAATAATTCACGTAATTAAATTTACGTTACAATATGTATTAACCTCTATATTTTTAAAACCTGCTTGCAGCTTGCCAAAAGTTCCCATTATTTAGGCTTTAGCGCGGTGAGCAGGGGCGCAAATTTTAGTGCTTTTACGCGTAACTTTTGTCTTGAGCCGGCCCTGAGTCGATCGACCGAGATAAAAAAAAAGTTTGATGGTCCTTCGGCGCTTCCGTAGTTTTCATTATACCTTTCAAGCTGTTAATTTGGGAGCGAATTGGTGAAGGAGGAGGAGATGTATGAGGGCGCAATTTCTGTGGGTTGCCCTGCGCAGCAGCGGTAGCTATACTCCGCCACTGACTAAAAGTAAACTGTATAATAGGAACTGGCGATTGCGTCATATCTAGGTTATCTCTCTTTAATGCTCGAAAGTTGGAAGTGACAAAATTGATGTTGAGAGGTTCCACTCTGTATACACAACTTACGAAGATGTACAATTTTGGGAGTTGGCAACCACGCAATTTTTAGGAGGGGAGAGCTGTTTCCGGCATCTGGAGAACACGAACGTTGGTTACGTTTGGATTCTGTTTTTAATGGCGGTCACGAAAGTATCGCTCGTGATCGTTTGTTGTTATTTTGGGTTATTTAGTGCAGGTAGTAATCTTTGTATTTCTGTACATCGTATTTGTGTTTTGTATCCAGCATTTTATATCTTTGTTGCTGAAATTGACTTGATTTAACCGTAAAACAGAATCACATATTTGATACCGTTATCCTTTTGTTTGAAATTGTTCAACTATAGGCTGGAAATTCTCGAACGGAGGTAAGATTGTGCTAATAAATGTGTGATATATGAGTTGCGATTCAATGATTTTCACATATTTTGTCCTAACATTTGAATTTGCCAGCTTTCACAGTCTTAGTATGAGCAATAATTATTAAACAAACTTTTCACAATTTCAGTGTTTTATTTTACGTTCCTTTCCTAGTGCACTTCCGGACATAGCATTGTTTAGAACTAACGTAAGGGTGTTAGGGTGCCCAGCCTTAGATGTTTTATCACGTGCCAAATTCTAAATTTACGCGGGATCTGCTTTAGTTTTTGAGGGTGGCCATTTTTAAACGTTGCCAGGTTGACTTTATTTCCCTGAGACTCTAACTTGTGATATGAGAACTCTCACAAGCTAGATTCGGGTATTGGCGGATGGCAACTCCGCCAACTTATCACTGAAATGTTAGCGGGCTAGGTGGACAACGGCTTGTCCACTTGTTCGCAGATTATGTAAACTAACTGTAACTTTTGTAATGATGGTGGCCTATATGGCGTGATGAAATGAACAATTAATGCGGAAGACTGATTACAGCACCATCTGTTGAGGGCGTACGTTCACTTCTGAATACGTCATTTCATCATGCTAATTTGACCGAATTTCGAATTTATAAGCTGTTTTGATACGAAATTTAGTGCACATTTATTTTTAACGTTACGTCGTGTTATAATACACAATTCGGAATTGAGTGCTAGTTTAGTTTTAGATCTCCAGTGAGTAATTTAGCCAAAGGATGTAAGTAGAGATCCTAGTACCTAGTGCTTGTTGGATTATCTATGTCTTGAAACCAATTATTAAATAAGCTCCGTTTTCTATGTGTTCTCTCGTTGCTGAGATCTAAGGCTGTACTATAACATAACATTAGACTAATAATTTCTTTACAATATTTTCTTGTAATTTGTCCACTGTACCTGTAAATACAGGGTGTCTTAAAATGAGTAGGATAACATGGCTATCTTTGTTATTATTATACTTACAGATTCGGTTAAATTGGCAAAGTTGTGTAGTTTTTGATGCCGATGGATATTCTGATGCGATATTTTGAAAAAAATAAATCGTCCCGTAGGTAATTGGCAAAAGTGAAAATCGCCATTTTTAAAAAGTTCAAATATTTTAGTAACAACGAGAGCTATCGAAAAAAAACGGGATAAATTCAATGGACCTAGAAAAAATTTTCAAAATGGCGGTTTTCGAGATATTGACAACTTCCTTCTTTTAAATAGACACCATATTGGATTTTTACTCAGTTTGATACAGTTTTTTTACAAGTTATCATTCAAATAAGAATTAAAAACATTACAATTTTCATTTTTTCTTCATAGTTGGCCATGGAAACAGCAAGCAATTGACATTTTGCAACGTTACAATTGTCTGGCCGGCGAGTAGTTTTATTGAAGAATCAATTAACATAAGAAAATATCATAACGGAGTTTAAGTAAATGTTTCATAATGCATTCCATTATTAACTAAGCACGTTCGGCACCGTTTAGTTACCTGGCGCAGTGTATTCCTGTTAAACAAATGTTAAATTGCAAAATGACAGTGGGCCCTCTATGCTAGTTTTGTTTTCATGGCCAACTGTGAAGAAAAAATGAAAATTGTAATTTTACCCATGTTTATTAATGATCCTCGAGATCTTTTATAATTTTGTATTGCTGTCCGGCCGCCCGTCTGTCCGATGTACACGATAACTTTGTGTAGAAACGTCAGATCGCTTTGAATATTGATGCACATGTTCTTCAGGATATAATAGGTAAGTACCTAAGAAAGGTCGCTATTGTTTTTCGGCTACGTAGACAAACGGGCCAAAAAGTTACAGCTCAAAATCTGTTCAAACCTCCAAAAAAAAAGTGTTAAATAATTGTTGTTACAAAGAAATGTGCGGTTTTCTGTGTTAATTAATATTCCCCCAAACCCAAACTTTTGTGTTTATGCAATCTCATTTTTTGTTGTTGAGATATTGAAATGAAATTTTGTATATGTACGCACCTTGAATAAAAGTAAAACCATAATATAACACAATAATATAATATGTATTATACTATGGTAAGACTAAAGCCGAATCAAAAAGTTTGTTTTGCGCATGCGCAGTCGATTTTTTTTTATTTGTTAAGATGTTGCAATGAAATTTTGTATGTACGCACCTCGAATAAAAGTAAAACTATATGTACCTATGATGATCTCGAGGATCGTTCGGTATGTATCGGATTTTTTATCTGAATGATAACTTGTTATACATAGTTGGAAAAAGAAAAAAAATCCGAATGAAACTGAGTAAAAATTCAAAATGGCGTCCATTTAAAACAAGGAAGTTGAGGTCAATATCTCGAAAACCGTCCATTGAATTTATCCCATTAAATCTTGCAACTTTTATTTGAAACTTTTATCGATAGCTCTCATTGTTATTAAAACTTATTAAAAATCGCGATTTTCATTTTTTTGCAATTATCTAAGCAACGATTTATTTTTTTCCATCAGCTTCAAAAAGGCGAATGATTTATGTCCGATCACGATACGGAGTCGAGGAGGAAGCTATGGTTGGTAGAAATTAATTCCTTTCGTGGAGACCTTTCATTAGAGTACCATGAAGGATAAAATCAGTTTCATCCCCCCCCCCCCCCCCCGCCCCACTCTCTTTTGATAAGGCGTCAGAAAATGGGGCGGTAGTTGGTAGGAAACAAAAATTTTGTTGAGACGTTTAATTAGAATACCATGAAAGATAAAATTCTTTTCTATTCCCTTCCCCCCTGCCCCCGGCCACCTACTGATCTCGAAAAGAAGTCGCCTAGGAAAGTTATAGTTTGTACAAAGCAATTCATTTCGGTGAGACCCCCAAGACCAGCTGGTAGTGGCATGTAAAAGTTACGCACATTTTACATTCAAAAACAGCATCAGGAAATAATGCATGGGGGGGGGGGGCTTTAAGACGACGAAATTGATGACCATCTGGCACACCTTCAAGATATAGGCTACGGTATTGCAAACAATTCCAGGGCTCTAGGACCATTCTCCTAAAAGTAGTTCAAAACCACAGAAGTGGGTCCAGACGGACGGACGGACAAAACGCAAACATTCTTCTTTCTTAAAAAAATGCGCTAAAAAAGTCATACAATGTGTTATATTAGTGTGACTAAAAGCAGTGGCGGCGAAAAGGGGCGTCGTCGATCTATTATGCAGCTTTGAAAAGTATCTACGCGAAGCGCTAACAGCATTGCTATATCTCTTTTAGGTCTCAAAACATCAAAAACACGCAATTTGGAACACCCTGTGCGTATCTGTTTTCATTATACCTTTCAAGCTGTTAATTTGTAGGCGAATGAGTGAAGGGCGGGGGGGGGGGGGGGTTTATAAGGGCGGCGGAATTTTGTGCGGGCCGCCCTGGGCAGCAGCGGTATAGCTACTGCTCCACTGACTAAAAGTAAACTCTGTATAATAGGAACTGGCGATTGCGTCAAATATATATAGGTTATCTCTCTAAGTTGGAAGTGACAGCAAAATTGATGTTGAAAGGTTCCACCCTGTATACACAACTTAGGAAGATGTACAATTTTGAGAGTTGGCAACCACGTAATCTTTAGGAGGGGGAGCTGTTTGCAGCATCTGGAGAGCACGATGCAGGTAGTAATCTTTGCATTTCTTTACATGGTATTTGTGTTTTGTATCCAGCATTTTATATTTTTGGGAGTTTCAATCTCTGTTTCTGAAATTGACTTGATTTAACCGTAAAGCAGAATCACATATTTGATACCATTATCCTTTTGTTTGATATCGTTTACGTTTTGGTGTAATGTTTGCTTAATTTGTGTTTATGTGTTGATTACTTGGTCTTGTCCGAGAAGTAATAGTCATATAAGTTTTGATCATACCTTTAAACATGTGGAAATTATCGAAATGCTATGACGTGTGTATGCGTACGGACTTGTTGTTTGTAAACTAACATTTTCGCCGCGAAGAGACGATCACAGGGGTGGAACAATGGTAACCAATTGAATTACAACACTCTAAGCTGGGACTGCTCCCGACCCTCAACTATAAGCTGGAAATTCTCGAACGGAGGCAAGAATGTGCTAATGAAAACACTCTGCGGTTTTGAACCTATGTGTGATATATGAGTTGCGATTCACTGATTTTCACATATTTTGTCCTAACATTTGAATTTTCCAGCTTTCACAGTGAGCTATTAAATTAATTAATTAAACAAACTTTTCACAATTTCAGTGTTTTATTTTACGTTCCTTCCCTAGTGCACTTCCCGTCATAGCGTTGTTTAGAGCTAACGTAAGGGTACCCTGCCTTAGATGTTTTATCACGTGCCACTTTTCAAAGTTAAGTGGGATCCTGTTTAGTTTTGGAGGGTGGCCATTTTTAAACGTTACCGGGTATCATATTTCACAGTACGAATGAATTCATAGACTACGGAAGGTGGGGAATAATACCCAATCAAATACAATGCTGCGGATTGAAGCAAATCTTTTCGCATAGCTTGGTGGCAAACAATAAGCTTTTTTTACTTCTTGTTTATGCCGTGCAGATGTTTTCATATTCGACCGTGCGTAATTGGAGGCATACAAATTGACTTATTGATTGTTATTTTGCGGAAATGGTACGGTACGATAATATGATTGCTGCTTTTAATTCTATACGAATATGGACTATAGGCGACCATGTCACTGGTGGAAAACCGCAAACGCATTGATGGTTTTATTTTATCATTGAATTTATAACGTATCAATTTAATGCACAAACTTTACGATCATCTTTCATTCCTTATCGTCGGTGACTAATAATGTATTGACTTGATAACGTTCTTAAAAATTCGCTACATTGCAATCAATGGCGACTAAATGCGGTAGTGCCAACATAGCAGAGTAGGTACAATAAATTTGGTGCAGTAGATACAATGACAATAAATGTGAACTACTATGATAAATAAACCTAACCGCACACAACACAAGTAGATAATCGTAAAAAATGTCTCGCTACGATTCGCATAGTGAAGGTCCAGGTTTTGTCGGTATACGTTTTTGTCAGGAATGGTTAGCCCAAAAAGTAAACGCTAATGGTACCTTTTAACTACTCGTGTTTTAGCAACAACATGCTGTACCCGAAGGAAGACAAGGAGAACAAAATCTTGATGTACGCCTGCAGGAATTGCGATTATAAGCAACACGCTGATTCGAAATGCATCTACGTTAACAAAATTATGCACGAAATTGAGTAGGTAAATCGTGTCGCCACTAATCGACGACTGACACTTTGTTGTAGTGAGCTGATGCACATCGTTCCCGACGTGATATCGGATCCCACGTTACCGCGAACCGAAGACCATCACTGCCCCAAGTGTCATCACAGGTTTGATTGCCTACGTTTATTTTCGCATTAATCACAATCGCTTTAGGGAGGCGGTATTTTTCCAAGCGCAGACGAGACGAGCTGAAGAAGAAATGAGGTTGTATTACGTTTGTACTAATCAGCACTGCGCCCATAGATGGACCGAATGAGTTCGATTTAATAAATATGTTTCCTATAATTCGAGTTTTATTTGTAATCAATATTTTTTTGTCAAATGACATAACCTCAAAGATGGGCTCTGAACATTCCTCGCACGGACAGCTGCCTCGCAGACAAGCCACTTTAAGCGGCAACAGCGTGCGGCAATCCGGCAATTTTCGACGCCAGCACACAATTGCGAATCCCGGTGGCGAAATGCTGGATCACGAACCTCGCCCCGGTTCGACTAGTCCCGGCCCTAGTGTTTGTAGCGACATAGATTTGCCCTATATTAGTTATACGGTGAACAGACCAATTGGAGGTACCCCCCTGACTCGGAGGTATAAAGCTAAGCTGTGCGATTTTTAGATTCTCCAAAGCTGACAAAACAAGCGGTGAAAGCGAAAGCGAACCAACGTAAGGTACAACAGAAGGCGGTTAAGAAGTCGGCACACAACATCGTAGTCGTCAAACAGGCAGTTACCGGTCCAAATGTTGATAAGGATCCGGACATAGTTCGCCTTCAGGTAATACCCGTGGGTGATTACGAGCGCCTAACATTTGCATTCCAGAGTATTCCCATGTTTTTACCTATAATGAGAGGCACGCTGTATCTGCCGGCACCTCGCGATCCCGAGGTGCTCGAACGATTAGATTCGTCTCCCTTCTATCGATTGTGCTTAAGATACCAGAATCATCTGACGACGTGCACTAACACCGTCGCGACGGAACAGAACATAATTACACAGAAAGTACGTGAGACTGATGCGGAAATAAACAAGCTGGTGGCGTACGCCACCGATAGACAGAAGAGGTTCGCCAAATACGCCGAAAAACTCTCAAAAGTCCAGGAGCTTAGTCATCAGCTGAATCGGTGCCATATGGTGCTGAACCAAACTTTGGAGTCGATGGAGACGTTGAACAATTGTTTAGATATTGACGACCGACTGGAGCCGTTCGTTTGGACGACCGGATGAGAATAATTTAATTTGTTTGGTTCACGTTACTCTCTTTTTATTAAGACGTTTTGGAGGATTATCTAAGAAGCGGTGCTTTTAATCGAGGAATTGCACATACTTGATGCTGATTTGTACATAATTGCGTGGCTTATAGCTTGTAAATAGATAAAGATTAATGTAATCGTTTAGAAATTAATAAATGTAATGTTCCTTTACACTAACCCCACCTTATCTGATCTATACTTACTGGTTGTTAAACAGTGTTAAACACCCTGTATGTGAATTGTAATCATTTGTTGACGTTAAATGCGATTCTAATAATTGGACATTTATTTATTTAATGATGTTAACTTTGTTTAAATGTTTTGTTTTGATTTTCGTTCAGATTTGTTGCGTGTTAATAGCTAATAAGCATCTTGAACTGTTTGCATAGTATTTGTAAGTGTTATCTCCGGTCGTTACGATAAGGGTTCTTATAGATAATTAGTTTCAAGATAAGCACGTGTTAGCGCAGAGTTAAGCAAATGTTTTGCGCGTAAAGTAAACACAGCAGCAGCTAGATTATTGGAAGACGATTTCATATTTTGATAAAGCTAAGTAGAGGCGGAAGATGGAACAGAAAGGGAAGTTGTGTTCAAATAAGCGAACCGGGCATCGTTTGAAACGCAGCCATTATGTTTTGGTGTACCTATTGCCGTCTTTGTTTAATAAGAACTAAAAGAAGTGAAATTTACAATATGAATAAGTTTAGTCGGAGTGTAGTGGTTATCAGTTAAAGTAAGTTTATCCACCCTCAAAGAGCCAATACTATAATTGTCGTCTAAATCGAGTTTCTATGTGAAGTCAAAGAAGTCGAAGCATCATCCGCTTGGTTTTTGTGTTTGCGCCAGTTTGCTGAAAGGCGCAATTTTCACCGGATGATAAAAATAACTTAAGGAGTGCCTATTTTTATTTCAGCTGTGATGATTGATTTTTGCCAAATAAATTTGTTTTTTTCTGTAAATGCTTAGTCTTGTGAATATCAATGTTATACCTATTGATCTGCTGACAGCAAATATATATTATTATTATTATATTGTGTTTAATCGAGCCCAAATGACGACTCCGGAGTTTTCATGTTAAATGTTTCTATTTCGTACCCAGAATTATATCAGGTATCTACTATACAGGGCGGTCCAATGAAAACAGTCAATGCAAGCGAATTTGTGAAGGCAGAATCGCCATTAAAAAAAAATCGAAACAATTTCCACCCTTTGCGCTATGTGTAAACCGTCATTGTTTTAGAATTTACCACAAAATTAAACAAGTTAATTTAAGAAACTCACAAATTTGCTTCATTGCTTGTGCGCTTATGTCAGATGTTCTTTTCTGACACAAGCTCTCAATTATTTCAACTTCAACGCCTACTTTATAAACATTTAAAACGGTTCTGCAAATCCATCTACTGATCGGATTTGAAAAATAAAAACAGTTCTGAAAACATAATGTACCTACATTCCTTTCGACCTATCTAACATTCATGCTACCCCTTCCCATTTAAAATTTTTGGGGTGCAATTCACCCCCTTCTCAGGGTAGTAAGTAGTATTACTTAATTTAGGTGTCGCCCTCAAAACTAAAATTGACGTGTTCGAGCGTTTCTGGCAAAACTGTCGTTAAGTGGGAAAAATTGGCATTGACTGTTTTCAGTGGGCCACCCTGTATAAAAATGTGTTAATTAATTTTGGTAATTTTGGAAGCCTTTAAGGCTGCTGAATTTCTTCAAATTAATAAAATGTCCGTCAATATCAAGATTTTCGTCATGACGGAGGCTGGACGTGGCCTAAAAAATCATAATTATTCCTGACTTGAAAACCCTATCTGGGTCGCACTTAGGGTTCGATTAAACACATAATTAATTCCCAAAGACAGACTTTTATTTCGCAAAACATAAAAAAAACATTAAACAAGAACGCTAGAAAAAAGAGGTATTCAGAGCTCGTTTTTACACGTACGATGCACGCAGGCGTTCAGAATATTCCAGCGCAAACACGTAACGTATCTTACGTCACTCCGCCTTCGTTCCTTATCGCCGATGACTCATTCTACGTGGCGCCTCGGAATCTATCGAGATTCCCGGAATGCTTATATGAGTGAGTGTGGGTGAAATAGGTGAACGATTGCAACACTCGAATACTAATTTGAATTTTTGTTTCAAAAATTATCACCTTTTTACACAACCGTAAAAAGGTGATAATTTTTGAAACAAAAATTCAAATTAGTATTCGAGTGTTGCAATCGTTCACCTATTTCTCAAAACTATTAGATGCAATTTTGTTTAAACTCAGTTCTAGGGCCTTCTAAGGCTTATTTTTTTCCACTATTAATAATTTAATATCTGATGGAAACAAAGTATCAAAAGTGTAAAACGGTTTTGAAGAATACAAAAATATCTAATATACAAGGTGTGCTATTTAAATTGATGGTAACTTCTGATTAAACTGAAAGTGATGGAAAAATACTCTTTAGTCGAGTATTCCATTGGTTTTTATGCATAATATATCACCCACTGAAAGAAAAAAATATATTAATTGGACGGACTTTTATTCAAAATTGTTCGGGATTTTTAGTAAAATTAGTCATTTTTCGGAAGAATTTTCTGAAAATAGTTAAAGGTACAATGAAAACGAGTTGGTACCTACATTTAGCTACATTAAGGTACATTAATGGTTTTGAAATTTATTCGAAATTTTTCCGGTGCTCACGTGATGTGCCTACCCTTCCCGTACCATATAGCAAAAAATGAAGTAGGGACCGGAGAAGTCATCGCCAAAGAATGATCGTTTGTTTTTAAGGTAGAAAATCTCAACGTGACGATTTCGACAAAGCAATAAGGTAATTTTTTTTCATTTGGCATTGATTAATTAAATTTAATACATAATTATTTTCACGTAACTTTTAAAATTCAGAAACCTTGCGTGTGGAGATGAATGCATCTTCGATCAGCCACTGAAGACGTAGTTTAAGGACATGACTAATTGTAACGAGTAAGTATACAAAATCAGGACTGAAATGTTAGATCGTACTAATAATTGTGATTTGAAAACCAAATTACGTTTTTCTGACCGCTTCCCATTAATTTTTTGTTCGATTCGACATTAGTTTTTTTGGTGACTTACGCCGCGCCTTAATCTGACCATTCGCGAAGTAACTCGCCGCTGAATCTGAAGAATTCTCTCGCGGTTCAACGCGAATTGCCTGACGGCCCGACGTGTACGACCTAATTCCCACTACTTTTCTTTTTGATTTACGCACATTCCGGGACGCACGAACTTTTCCACCAATAAAGGCTAATTTTTCGGTCCAATCGGAACATTCGAAACCAACTCTCTGCGACGTGGAATCCTGCTGAATTAGTTCACACGCTAGGTACCTACTTAGAAAGCTTGATAACGACGGATGCAAAATCGTGCCGTTGTTCTAGCTATAATTTCGTCCCGTCCCACGATTTCTCGACGCCGCGAGCTTTCACGCGCATTTCAAATGTCGGGAACCTCACGCCCATATACAAAATTGAAAAGCGGAAAAACTCATCCGTACGTTCGTAGTAGACCGAAATGTTCGGAGTCGAAGAAGATGCGAGTTGAAATTTCCTCATCACTTCCGGCTTTACGGGTAAGATAAAATTTTATACATAACCAATGACACCTGGCCCAAAAGATGTAGAGTCGGTGAGGTCCTCTCGGGTGACGTATTGATTGCAAACGTCCCGTTCCCATGCAGATCACCCATTATGTAAAAACATACCCAGATTTAAATCTTGTTGTTATTAAAAAACGGTTGAAGCTCTTAATATTTTGATGTTTCAGCGTCAATTAATTATTAAGCATTTTAGAATCCCACAATAAGCGAAAACTAGTATAGAAACGAGTTCCAAATCGAGTTGTTTATACGTTATCTGTCTTGCAGACATTACGGGGTGTAGATAACGACATCAGTTGTTGCATCGGAAAAATCCTATTAGTTGGATTGATGATTATTGTAATTTGAATGCGCTTAATTGGGCAATGAGTCGTAGAAAAAACTGGCAGATGGCGTTCAAATTTATATCAAAATGAGTGCGCTTAAAACAAGGGAAGTTCGATGCCCATCTTATATTTTTCCGATAATTACATAGGCAGGGTAATTAATTAAAAACGAATTAACTTGCACCGCTTTAGTACTGAATACAGCGAGGAGCTGGAAATTCCCTATTCTACTTCCCCAAAATTCAGATTTCTTTATAAGGTAAACGCTTGATTTTGCGCGCATCTGTTGCCTTCTTGCGGTAAGTGATTTTTTTTGCATTTTTACCGTCTGAAGTGAGTTCTGTAAGTACCACCATTTTCCATGCGTTTAAAATTAATTTTCCGTAACGCTTTTGCACTGAGAGGTTCCACCCTGTATACAACTTACGACGATACATACATTATTGAGAGTTTTGTGTTATTTAATGCAGGTAGTAATTTTTGCATTTCTTTATATCGTAATTGTGTTTTCTATGCCACATTTTATATTTTTTGTGTGTTTGAAGCCTTGTTTTTGAAATTTACTTGCTTTAACCGCAATGCAGAATTACATGTGTGATACCGTTATGCTATTGTTTGTAATTGATTACGTTTTTGGTGTAATTTATGTTTATTGATGTTGATGACTTGGTCTTGTCCCTGAAGTAAAATTCGTATAAGTTTTGATCATTTTATTTTAATATGTGGAAATTACCGATTCGTTTGATGTATGTACTGACTTGTTGTTTGTAACTAACAATTTTCTCCGTGAATGAAGCAGTCACGGGGGAGTGGGGGGGTAAAAACTGTAATCAAATTGAGTTACGACACCTAATTCCGTGCTTGTCTTCGACATTCAACTGTAAGCTCGAAACCAGGGGCGGGTTACCTATCTTGCAGGAGCGGGATTACGCTAATCAAAGCTCTTCAGTTTAGAATCTATGTGCGATAAATGAGTTACGATTCGTGATTTCCACATATCTTGTTTTTAGTTAAATTCCATCTTGCTTTTAACAAAAGGACTTTATTGCACTGAAGATGATAGTCATATCCTGTGTATTTCACCCTTTCTTAGAATCTTGGTACCTGCTTACCTGACCCATAATTCCCAAAAATTTGTTTTTAACCTGTATGTTACCTCTTGAAGTTTACCTGCTACTTTTTGTTACGCATTCACATCATTATAAACAATTAATTTTACAACACAATTTGATATTAATTTTACGGCTGGTTTTTTTATCGGTAAGTTCTTTTTTTTCCCAGCCCATTTTGATTCGGTGAACTACCATTTTCAAAGTTTATTTTTGCCATGCAATTTATTTTGGACTTAAATTTTGGGCTTTCACAATCTTAATAATTGCGATCATTATTAAACAAACTTTTCACAATTTGAGTGTTTTATTTAATGTTTCTTCCCTACTGTGCTTCAGGTCAAAGCATTGTCTACAACTAACGTAAGGGGGCCCTGCCTTAGATGTTTTATCACGTCCCACTTTTCAAAAATTAAGAGGGTTCTTGTTTAGTTTTGGAGGGAATAGTCATTTGGGTGGCCATTTTTAAACGTTGCCGGGTGGACTTTATTTCCGTGTTCTTGTAGTGTGAAATTAGCGTAGAACCTGGGGGTTAAGTACACTACCGGGGGTTCTCTTTACGGAAACCCTTGAATACCCCCCACCACTTCATTTTTAGAGATACAGCAATAATTGCCAAACAAAAATGTTCAGATTATCTTCGACTTCAAAGACTAGAATTCACAGAAACATCACTTTTTAGATTCCAGTTGCGCCCCCTAGCGGCCATTACAGAAACTTGAATATATTTTCCAGGTTTTTCTCGTGGCCATTTTAGTAATAACTTTTTTTACTGCAAGCCTCTACGATGGACAAGTTCCCAGATACAGTACCTCGCTTTCTTATTTGGCCACCCTTTACACAACAAATTTCGTGGAATTCTCTCCATTTTCGTTGTCCAGCCAAGAATTGCAGTGGGACTTTTTTTTTCGAATTTTCAAAAACTAATTCCAGATTCGTGATTTTTTATGTTCAAAAACCCTAGATACCAAATTTCGTCAAAATCAGAATTTTTTTTCGCACCCCCCAAGTGGGGGTGCGCCCTTTTGTAGTAGGAATTTTGAAAATTTTTTATCAAAATCGGATAGGGTATACCCGAACCCATCTTCGTAACTCTTGTGGTAGCGGAGAAAAAATGAAAGAAGAAATCCAAATTTCACCACTTCTTTGGGGGTGGTTCCCAAACGAAACACGTTGGACCCTCCGTTTTTTTTGGAAAAAGTGCTTGACTTGATCCCCTCTATCGCCCAATTTTTTTTTACATGTGGTCATGTAACACCCTGTATAATATTGTAGTTTATGCAACGCATGTGCAATGTGTGTTGCCTACTTTTCACGTGGCGACTGGACTTCTATTACCCCCACTCTAGTCAAGTATACCCTAGAAAAGAAATTTTTTAGCACATGTTCTGTTAGTCCAAAGCCCAAATACCTTATGACAGCAACCACATCTACAATTATTAATTAAAATAACACAATAATAGTATAATTGAGATTTATTTTTGAATACGCAACACCAAGTAGTGTGCCAATTATATTCCGAGAACGGGAGAATTTTCACAATAGTACAATAAATATAATTCTAATCATTACGCAGTGATTTATTTACAAATCAAAACCTTCAGATCGTTTCCAAAATAATTTTTTTTTTCAATTACTTTTCCTGTACATGTGCGATTTCACAAATCTTCGGCATGCACACTGTTCTCCTTTTATCTCTAAAGTTATACAATTTCACAGGCCGATTTATCCACCTTCCACGATATCCACTCCGATGGCGGAAGGTGGATACCAGGACCCTAAGACATTTAGATTAACTTGAGTCTTTTTAACAACAATTTCATTAAACTAAATTTCACTCACAAGTCGCGCTCTCAACCAATCACTGGCAAAAGACAGTTAACTATAAAAGTCCGTTATGCTTGTATTATTTATGTCAGTGTTACCAAAAAAAGGAACTTGTTCAACCACAAATTTTGGAATGTATCGAACTACGTTTTGACATCAAAAATGCTTGCAAAGTAAAAATTTCCATTAACTCTCCTCTTCATTACTCAAATAAATAAACAATCGCTACAATTTTGACAACAATTACAAGAACTAGCCCGATTAAGAAAGGGCATCGTTTTAGAAACAGAAACGCAATTATTCGCACTACATCCATTAATGACTACTGTGGCCGTGAGACATCAAAAATTTCCGAACACAATTTGTACTTCTTCAAATAAAATTAAACACTTTTCGATGCGCACTTATTAAAGGGGCTTTCTCTTTCGCACGGTATACAAAATAAAAAAATGAAAGAAAAAACCAAAAACGAAATGAAATACGATTTAGATCTAGCAACGAAATTGAAATTCCCTTAAACACACATACGACAACATCAAAATTGAGTTTTCTTCAACTGCGGAATCCGGAAAAATAAATTAATGAGAAAAAAAAACGAGTCCATAATTTCACACACTTCGTTGACAATTCAAAAATCTGAAAATATTATTATTATTATTATTATTGTCATCGGTGTTAGCTACGCGTACCATTCAAACAGGTACTTGTTGTGGCACTAATTATGTACAGGTGGTGCGGTCTGGCGTTCGAGCTCCTCCAAACTGATGGCGTGCTGAGACGTGTTCGTGCTGGGCAGGTTCGGTACTTTGCCGGCTCGCGCCCTCTCCAGCAGCTCGGGCGAGAACCAGCGCGCCAGCTGGTTGCTCGTCGGCGAGAGATCGCCGCCGTTGTTGTTGGCACCACCTCGATCGCCCATGTGTGAAATTCGACCGTCTGAAAGTAATCCAATAAGAGAATGAAGAGTGTAATCAATGAAGCTGTGGTGTATCTCAGCTGTTTTCTTTTAGATATTTTTATGCAGAATCCAGTGGCGTAGTTTTCTTAAATTTAGCCATGAAAAAAAAACGTTTTTAGTTTTTAAATAGTAGGTCATGGATTCATGCAGATTTTGTTATTTATTGTATCCATGGTAAGTAAGACAGTCGATACCAATAAAAACAAGTACAAATTGTGCGCAACCCTTGTGCAGGTAAAGCGCATTTTTTTAAAACACCCTACGAAATTTCTTCCATAAATAAGAAAGTTGGTACTGCGCATGCGCAAAACGAAATTTTGAAACTGGCGTTAAATTTGGTATTATTATTCCAAATGACCAACGGTTATATTTCTTCCAAACGTCCCAATCGCCCTTAGTAGGTACTTTCCTTTGACAATTCACTTAAGATATAAGGAATTATAACTGATCACGGCAAGGGATCGAGGAGGAAGACTATGGTTAGTATAAATTAATTCCTTTCGTTCAGACCTTTCATTAGAGTACCATGAAGGATAAATCTAGTTCCACTCCCCCCCTTTCCCCCTCCACCACGTACTTTGATAAGAGGACAGAAAGAAAGGCAGTAGTTTGTAGAAAACTGCTCCTTTCGTCGATACCTTTAATTAGAATACAATGAGAGATAAAATTAATTTTTAACCCCCCTCCCTCCTCAGGCGCCTTCGCTCACTGATCTCGAAAGAGTCGCACGGGAAAGTTATAGTTTGTACAAACCAATTTATTTCAATGAGACCTTTCATTAGAATACCATGAAGGGTAGAACATGTGTTTACACCCCCCCCCCCCCCCCAACCCCATTTTCTAAGCTTTAACTTGGTACCACTAAAGACATGGGTATGCAAAATCTGAGACCAATTGGTTGTCGTATGTAAAAGTTATGTACGTTTTACTTTCAAAAACAGCATCTCAGGAAATAATTCGTGAGGGGGGGCCCTTTTAGACAGCGAAATTTGATGGCCGTCTGGCACACCTTCAAGGTATAGGCTACCTACTGCAAAAAATTCCAGGACTCTAGGACCATTCCCCTAGAAGTAGTTCGAAACGGCAGAAGTGGGTCCGGACGGACGACAAAACGCAAACAATAACACATTTTTTTTTCATTATTAAAAAATGGCTAACGGTACAATCATGCCATATCAAAATTTTGAAAATACGTTACAAAAAAAATGCAAAAAATTGACGTTAACGTATACAGGGTGTGCTTTTAAAAGATACCAACCATGGGTGAAATCTCAAAACTTTTTTTAACTACGCCACTGGATTCTATATTTCTTCCAAACGTCTCAATCGCTCTTTGTAAGTACTTTCCTTTGACAATTCACTCTTAAGATATTATGAATTATAACCGATCACGACAAGGGATCGAGGAGGAAGACTATGGTTAGTATAAATTAATTCCTTTCGTTGAGACCTTTCATTAGAGTACCATAAAGGATAAAACTAGTCCCCCCTCCATGTACTTTGATAAGAGGACAGAAAGAAGGGCAGTAGTTTGTAGAAAACTGTTCCTTTCGTTGAGACCTTTAATTAGAATACAATAACATTTTTAACCCCCTTCCCCCTCCCCCCCTCAGGTCCCGTCGCTCACTGATCTCGAAAAAGAGTAGCACGGGAAAGTTACAGTTTGTACAAAACAATTTATTTCGATGAGACCTTTCATTAGAATACCATGAATGGTAGAACATGTTTTTACCCCCCCCCATTTTCAAAAGTTTAACTTGGCACCGTTAAAGGCATGGTATGCAAAATCTGAGACCAATTGGTTGTCGTATGTAAAAGTTATGCACGTTTTACATTCAAAAACAGCATCTCAGGAAATAATTCGTGGGGGGAGGGGGGGCTTTTAGACAGCGAAATTTAATGGCTGCCTGGCACACCTTCAAGGTATACGCTACCGACTGAATTACCTTTGAATTTTGAAAAATACGTTACAAAAAAATGCAAAAAATTGACGTTTAACATATACAGGGTGTGCTTTTAAAAGATACCAACATTGAGTGAAATCTCAAAACTTTTTTTAACTACGCCACTGGATTCTACCTAAAATATCCAAAAGTCAAACTTTACGTTTTCACCCTGTATCGGGGTGGTAAGTAACTGTAACCACATTAGTTACGACCCCTGTGCTAGGACTGTTCTTGAATCTCAACTATCGCCTGGTATAAGAATATAATAATTAATATACAGGGTGTCAGTTTTAAAACTTGCAGTCGGTCATATTTTCCAAACTAAAAAAGATATTGAAAATCGCGCAAAACCGTTTCGGGGGTATGTATCGGGAGGGAACCAGAATGACGTTATGAGTGACAACTCCCCCCTCTTCTTTAAAAATCCTAAATGGTAACCCCATACTTGTGACACCTCGTTGGAAAGCTACTGAAAAATGCTTTCCAGTGGTACCAATCAAGTTAATATTCATTAAGACAATTCACTCATAACGTCATTCTGGTTCCCCCTTGATACCCCCGAAACGGTTTTGCGCGATTTTCAATATCTTATTTAGTTTGGAAAATATGGCCGACTGCAAGTTTTAAAATAGACACCCTGTATAATTATATAATAAAGATGATTTGAATCTCAAGTTTTAAAAAACTAAAAAAAAAACTATAGGCTGAGAAATTCCAAATGAGGGCCCATATTGTTACCTGTTGTAGGGGTGGAACTCTGCTAACACAAAAACTCTTCGATTTATAATGTTTGTGCGATATGAGACAGGACAGGTTCGAAACTGTGACAGGTACTTATAATTATATATCTAAACGTATTTACGTGAATGGGTTATGTTATATCTTTTTGACGTAAAGTTATTTTCATATGTTTCCATGTGTTTAAATTTAATTACCTATATTGCAATTCGAAACCCATTTATTCATGTATTCTGATTTTATTTTTAGTTTATGTTTTTTATTTACTTTTTTGCGTGACCTGTGCACACACCTGGCGCCCAAAAGTATCAAAGCTTTATCAAACCACGATGGCTGCTTCACTGGAAGACCCGTTTCCCCTGACTAGTCGTGGCCAATTCCCTTTTCTTCCTCGACGTGCGCTGCAATTGCTTAAACTTGATAATTTTACAAATTGGTGTGGTTAACTACCTCTAAGCAACCAGGCAACGCACCTACCGAGACTGCACTGAAGACTGGGACGCGAAAGCGACTCTGATCTGATGGCAAGTAGCTTGAAAAAGGCAAAAACTGGGGCCGTAAAGGATACCAGAACCTTTAGCGAAGCAGCTGCGGGCTTCAGAATGGCTTTTGTTAATGAAGACCTGGAGGGAAGGAACACTGTCGGAAAAGCAGACAGAGCGAGCAAAGCCTGGATTCTTGTCCACTGGAGCAGTTTTGCTCAAATTCACGGAGTGTCGCCACCCGAAGGGCATCACATGCGCGAACCAGATCCGTGGGAGGGGGAGAACTTCTGATTCGTCGAACTGAAGAACCTAGTAAGGGCACATGCCTGGATCCCTGGAGAAAGATCGAAATCCAAAATGACCGAGTAACAACCAGCAATTGGCGTGTGGCAGGCAGAAAAGAGGACCCCAAGGAACAAACTTTCTCCCTTTCCTTATAGACCAAACTTCCTGAGATAAGATGGGGACAACTTGCAACCAAGGTGACGTTTAAACTCCCATCCAAGACGAAGGTGGAAGCGAGGACGTAATAAGCATGAAGTGCGAGTAGATATACTATACAGCACCTGGACCGTTCAAGGTCGCGCGTCACCTAGTGGTGCTCTTGGAAAATGGGCCAAGGTGGCGTGCCACGTGGACGGTAACCTTGGAAATTGGATCAAGGTAAAAGTTGATTGCCACGCGGGCGATGACCTTGGAAATTGGGAGAAGGTGAGTCATGAGCCACGTGGGCGACGACCTTGGAGATTAAACCAGGTGAAAGTCGCGTGCGGCGTGAGCGGTGACCTTTGAGATTAGATCGCGGTAAATCTCAAAGGACAAGCCGTAATTATCATATTGCATTTTTTGGGGTGTCAAATTCGTAAGCCACGTGGGCGATGACCTTAGAAATTAGGTCAAAGTGAAAGTCGCGTGAGCAGTGACCTTGGAAAGCTGATCGCGGTAAAACCCGAAGGGCAAGCTGTAATAATCATATCGCATTTTTTGGGGTGTCAAATTACATTTACAAGGCAAAGTCGTAAGCCACGTGGGCTATGACCTTAGAAATTAGGTCAAGGTGAAAGTCGCGTGAGCAGTGACCTTGGAAAGCTGATCGCAGTACAACCCGAGGGGCATGCTGTAATTATCATATTGCATTTTTTGGGGTGTCAAATTACACTTACACGGTAAACGACCTCAATTGATGTGGTGTTAAATTACATTTTTAAGGACATACGAGGTCATTGGCCCCATGGTGTTACAAGGTCATTCCAGATCAATGACCCCAACTGGGGCGACAAGTAACATTTTCAATGTCAATGACCTCAATTGTGATGTCAGAATTCATTTTCAAGGTCATCCAAGGTCAATGGTCTCCATTTTGTGTTGTCATATTACAATTTTAATTGCATACAAAGTCAATGACTGCATTTCCGCATTGACCCCATAAAGTGTAAAGGTCAACCGAGGTCATTGGCCCTTTTTTTGTGGTGTCAAATTATATTTTCAAGAGCGTCCAAGGCCAATACCACCTGCAACCCTCAACCCTACGTGAACTTCACCAGAGTGACGTTCTAACTCCTCTCCAAGACGAAGGTGGAGGCAGAGGAGGTGACAAGCATGGGGTGGGAAGTAGCCAGAGCAGTTGCGGGGCACTCGGGGGAACCACAACCAACTGTGCCAACCGCAGTTTAGTTAAGTAAGCCCGATTTTACTCATTTATGAATGGTAAAAGTAACACAAATTACTCTGCATTACAGTAGGGCGGCGCGGTATCTGCCACCCAAACATAAAATCCTTAGTGTAATAACCGACAGGATACCCCAAACAGTTTGCCTTAAGAAAGAAGGCCATGTCCTTTTTCTTGCACCTATAAAAATGCAAAATGCACCGACTAAGAAACCTGATTTGTACCAACAGTTACTGTTAGCGATACGAAAAAAAACTTCTCGTTCCATTTTTTATTTGAAAAGCGGGTCGTCGACTCGAAAATGTTCCTTCGCCTATATTTTACCACTCTTAAAAAAAAAGTTTTTCTTCGTCGCGAGATTGAGGAGTGCCCGTCCGTTAGAAGTTCTGAAACGGGACCCATTTTCTGAACGCAACAACCTCGACCAGCGTACCTTTTTAAACGAATAGTGAATCTGCATTTTTGTCACGCGCTCGAGAAGGTAGAGAAAGAAAGAAAGGGAGAAAGAAAGAAAGGAAGCGAGAGAGAGAGAGACGGATTTTAAACACGACGGAACGAAACTCTTAAGTTGGAAGAGATCGTTGCAACGGCGCGGTGCTCACCTTCCTCAATACGCTTCTGGTTATCACTTGTTATCTATCGCCAGATATACTTTTTATGTTCGCTATGAAGCGGTATAAGCGTAAATTTTTCTGAAAATTCAAAACCAAATTTTTGTAACCGGCTAACCGACCACCTGTTATAGCATAAAGAGAAATAAAACATATAGTCCTGATGACTCTTATTATTAAAAGATTAAAAAACCCATTCAGTTTTGTTGCAAATTTCTGTAGCCAAATGTCTTTAGAGGGCTCTTGAAAGTACAGGGTGGCCAAATAAGAATGCGAGGTACCTGGGAACTTGTCCATCGTAGAGGCTTGCGGTAAAAAAATTTATTACTAAAACGGCCCCCAGAAAAACCTGGAAAATATTTTTAAGTTTCTGCAATGGCCGCTAGGGGGCGTAACTGCAATCTGGAATCTAAAAAAGTGATTTTTCTGTGAATTCCACTATATTAACCTAACAAAAAAATGCCCGGTCTTTGAAGTTGACGATAATCTGAACCTTTTTTGTTTGACAATTTTTCCTGTATCTCTAAAAATGAAGTGGTGAAAAAAAATCGAACCAATGCATTTAATTTTTTGAGAAAATTAACCATTTCCGTCGGAATGTCGAAAAAAGCCCTCAAGCGGTGATATGTGAAACTAACAAAACTTCAAATAGTATAATATTTGTAGCTGAAGAATAGCTCTTTTGAACTAACCCGAGTTTGTTTCAATCGGCTCAGTCGTTTCGAAGATACAGGGTGTTCTTTACGGAAACCTTTGAATACCCCCCACCACTTTGCTTTTTAGAGATACAGGAAAAATTGTCAAACAAAAATTGTTTAGATTATCGTCAACTTCAAAGACTGGACATTTTTTTGTTAGGTTAATATAGCGGAATTCACAGAAATATCACTTTTATAGATTCCAGATTGCAGTTACGCCCCCTAGCGGTCAATTCAGAAACTTAAAAATATTTTTCAGGATTTGCTCGTGGCCGTTTTAGTAATAAATTTTACCGCAAGCCTCTACGATGGATAGGTTCTCAGGTACAGTACCTCGCATTCTTAGTTGGCCACCCTGTACATGGAAAACGCTTGAACGCCCTTAGTTAGACAAAAGTTAATTAAAAAAATTTTTTCAAGCCTCTTCAACTAAAAATTGACTGTTTCAACATAAGTCATGGCACACTAAATTAAAATAAAGAATGAAAACATTTTAAGATTAAAATGTCACAAAAGACACGAGGTGTCATTGTATTAGAAAAAAACAATTGAATACACAGTTGCCAAATTTCATGCAATCCGAACAAAATCTGTCGACTGTCAAAAGTAGTGATTGTTGCACAACCGACGAGAACTGTCAATTGTCGCGTGCCGGAAGACATATTTAAGAGCAACCACCATAAATAAGTTAATATGTGAGATCCTTACCATAGTTAGAGCTCGCCAGCAGCGGATGCTGCTGCTGCGACCACAGTGTCTGCGAGCTCGAACGGCTGCTGTACTGGTTCTGTTGCGGCGGCTGATGCTGCTGGTGCTGCGCGCGCAGCTGATGCTGCGTTAACTGTTGCTGAAACGGTTGTGGATTGGATGAGAACGAGTGCGGTGTGGAGAAGTGATGGAGAGTTTGGTGAGATGATGCACCTGGTTGTTGGGATGGATTGATCGAGGAGGGAAACTGTTGCTGGCCGAGCTTCCGCGCCTGATGCTGCTGCTGGTGGTGGTTGTATATGCGCTGCTGCTGATGGAAGTATTGCTGATCTTGCTGCGACGTTTGCAGGTTCGCGTTCGCCTTGACGATCGGCCGACCGACCGGCTGCTTCAGCTGCTGCTGAATGTTCCACGTTTGCGGCGGGTGCTGCTGTTGCTGCGGCGGCTGTATCGACGATTTCATTCCTGTAACCGCACGACCTGGTGGCATTTTTGCAAAAATATCAGACTTGCTCGGGTCTTTGCTGGCTGTTAAGGAAACACGTACACGTATTGTGCTTCGTGGGAAAATCACTTACCGTCATCCTTGTCCGCGGTCATTTTTCGTAGTACCGAGGTCGGGGTGAATGCGAGAGGCGTAGGCGACGAGATATGTTTGGCGGGGGATAAGCCCCTGCCGGGACTTTGGCCTCTGTGTTGCATCTCCTGACGTTTTTTGTAGTTTTCAGTCTGTTCCTCGAGTTTTTTCTTGATCAGCGCCTGCTGCATGATATTCTGCGTGTGCACTTGGAGTTCACGGGGAGACGGTATACGCTGATGCATCGCTAAATTGAATAAGGGCGTGCGTTAGAACGGTATCAAGCGGAAATCTTACGTTTGTTAGTTGTGCAAAGCGGCACTCACCTGGGACAGTGAGGGTGTTGGGACTGGTTGCAAGAATTGGAGACACACAGTAGGCTGCATGTAATAAAGGATTGAAGAGTAATACAATAACAACAAGCGTGCCAAGCAAGACGTAAGTGAACGGAGATACTTACCGGTAGGTAGGGGCGACACTCGCAACTGTTGCTGTTGTTGCTGCGGAAACATGGGATGAGGCGGTACGGGACTAAGGACTCGGGGACTGGGACCGACACCCGTGCTTCCACCACCACCACCACCGTGATATTTTAGAATTGTTAGTAAGAGGTCACGGTGACGCGACTGCATCGCCGGATTTGCGGCTAATTGCTGGTATAAATGTTGCGAGGTTATATCACCACGTTGCATACCTATTTTGACAGGGTTAGTCACACGACCCATGCACGAGAGACAACAAACCTTGCAAAATCGCTTGCGCTTCGGGCCTGCTCAAGAGCTCTCTGCTTTGGTTTAGGGTCATTTCGTGTAATGGAGAGGTTCCAAGCTGTTGCCGATGCGCGTTCGCGTTTATCAACTTGTTTAGCATTTCCATCTGCGCCTGCTGTCGTTGCTGTAAGAAACGAATTTCATTGTAAATCAATTGTTCCATTTTATTAAGTGTTAAAAGACTAGATTTAAACATCTCCGGTCGTAGATAAGAAGTTTTGTTTATCGCGGCGTAAGCTAATTAGTTTCAAGATAAGAAACCACGCAGTTTATCGTTTAAAGACGCATTAATTTGTTAAGAAAGTGGAGGCTCGCCCCCCTCCCACCCCCACAACCCTCTCTTCCAGATAGGACACACTGAACCTAACCCATCGTAACCGCGCCGCCGAGGCCTTTCCGGCGATACCTCTCCCGCCTTCTTACGACTTTCTGTTACCGAGATTCGCGGACCTTTCAAATCGTACTCATGGACTACAAACGGGTCGCGAAACGTCGAAAAAAATGGTCACAAACGGGTATATATATATATATATACACTTTTATATATAACTCCCGTTTCTACTCGTATGCGATCGGTCTCCAACGTTACACGTATAACACTCACAATATTTCGATCGCGTCTGCAGTAGGCGTCGGGCGACAGCCTGAGGGCGAAGGGGGGATCAAACACTTAAACCGCGATATCTCGAGAACGATGCGTCGTAGGTAGGGGTTCATGGGCGCCTTTGGAAAGGTCTCGACCTAACCTAACTGATAGGCATTCGGAATGTTGGGGGCGGTATTTGAACGAAATATGCACATTCTAGCGGAGACTTAGCATTTTTACCGACCTACACGATGAGATTGATTAAGACGAGCTCACCAATATATTGGTCCTTTTTGACCCGAATCAAATTCCTCCGCTTTTTTTGCTTTTTAGAATACAACACATAATTGTCCGTCATCGCACCGAATTCGGCGGCGGATAAAAAAAACGACGTTGGTCACGAAACGCCGTAATCGGTACGAGCGAGCGAAGCGACACTCAAAACCATGGGTGTCTTTGGAAAGGTCTCGACCTAACCTAACTGATAGGAAGAACGTTAACTGCTATTTGAGCGAAAGGTTCACATTCTAACGGAGACTTAAAATGCGAAGCATTTTTTACCAACCCATACGATGAAAATGACTAAAGAGCTAACCAATTTATTGGTCCTTTTTGAGCCGAACCAAATTTTTCCGCATTTTGCCTTTTAGAATACGACACACAAATACTAATAACAGATTCAGATTCTCCAAAAAAGTGCCCATAGAAGGAACCGCCAATTTCAGACCGTTTAAGGTAAAGAAAATGAAAACGAAATTTGGCATTTTCAGTCTCAAAAAGGGGCACTGTATCTCTCACCATTACGGAGATCCCAATGGTGAGCAACGAATTTGAATCACCCTGTATATAATATTTTTCCAAAATTTTGAAATGACATGTTTCTACCGTTAGGCATTTTTTTATTGTTATTGAGTGCATTAGTTACCAAGGATACAATAAACAAAACAAAATCTCCAACAATCCATGGCCTACTATTAAAAAAAGTTTTTTTTCACGGTTAAAATTAAGTGAGACACGACATCCAGACATCAATGTAATCAGAAAAAAGAATGCAAAAAATTGACGTTACGATATACAGGGTGTTGCATTTAAAAATACCAATTTTGGGTCAAATCTCTGAAACGGTGGTCTAAAACGTTTTTTTTACTACGCCACTGCATTCGCCATTCCACATACCACGAATTTTGTTTAATAATTTTAGTGTGCCACCAGGTAAAAAAGTTTGAGAAACACTGCTCTATCTAGTGAGGAATTATATATCGTTCCTCTAGAAAAAAATTTCTGTGGATAGCACAGATATCACCCGCACAATTGCGCATGCGCGATTCTGCCATTTTATGTCTAAGAATGTGTACCAAATTTGGTTCCAATGCGAGTGCAGACCGACCGACCGACCGATGGACATCATCGAGGTTTTGTTTGAATCGGATTACTGGTGCTTCAAAACGTTTATTTGTCAAAAAATGGGGGGGGGGGCGTTTTTACGCCAAACTATAGCATTTGAAATTATTTCGCATATTTTAAGGTTAAAAAAATGATTTTTAAGTGCGAGCGCCATCTTGAATGTTTTTCAATGGCAACGTAGGTCATGCGAATACCTCCAATTTTTATTTGTTTATCAAGATGCTTATTAATGCAAATGTGACAGTTTCGATGTGATTTATTAAGCTTTTCGTTTATTTGTGAGAGATAAAGGTAATTGTTTGAGATAACGTGGCTACTTTAATCTTTAAGAAAAATGGTCTTATTAGGTAACTGTTGAATTAGATAAGGAAAATTCGTAGAATTAAGGTGGACGTGCCGAATTAAGTTTTGGCTGTATTGGCTATTGTCGTTCCAATGCAATTTTGTGTTGATTAAGAAAGTTTTAACGAAATTTAAGTGGGATTTCGCGTAAGAAGAACGCTGATCATTAAAAGCACTTTTATTTTTTTTTGTTCAAGTTCGAATTCGGTTGTAGAAGCCTCTCATCCAGTTTGGAACGCATTATTTAGAAGAGGAGGAGTCAGTTTGCCCAGTTCGCGGCCTAATATGTGCTGAGTTATAAAGAAAAGAGTTTCTCAAGTTGAATTAGTTGTCAAGTTTGAAGGCTGTTTAGGTTTCCATTTTTGCTATGTTCAATGAAAGCATTTCGAGTTAATTTATTGGGACCGTCGGACGGCGATTTTAAATTGATGACTGCTACGTTACGATAAACCTTACCGCAATTGCATCGGAGAAAGGAAGCAGCAGGACCAAGTTTGTGTCTCACGTCATGGTTCATCAGGTGTTTTGTGATTTCAGTAAGTTTAATTAGTGATTTGGGTGTACGAACCCTATTCGGATATTTTGTCTCGAAAAAGAAAACTGTAAGTAATTTGTCCTATTCGGTAGTTAATTGCAATCATTTTAACAGGATAGTGTGGTTAGTTTTCTTTTGATTATCGTGTGTAAAATAAAATTTTCTGTGTAATTTCAGGCAAGTTGTATGTCAATTTAAACCCTTTATTAATGACGAACAGAGAAGTTTCATTTTCAAATCACAGTTAATTTTTATCTGATTCTAGCTTAAAGTTCATAGTCAAAATTAAGAATAGTCCATTTGGAATGTAAGGAATTTGATCTTGCCCACTGTCTGCCTAGAAATAAAAAAAAACGGTACGAAGTTCGCCGCTAGTCTCTTATAATAACGAAGTTGGCAATAGTACCGACTTAAGTTTGAATGCCCTGTATAAGCACCAACCTTTGTGATTAAATAAGTCTAATACGGAAGGGGTAAATTCTTTGGGTTATTTTATGACTAAAAGTTCATATAGCCATAGACCCGCAAACACTTCGTTACCGATCTACAGGGTGTTAAAATTTTCAAGATATGTTAGGTTTTTTTTTAATATCTCCTGTAGTTTTACAGAAATTTGGTACTGAACTTTATGTAAATAATGTAGCGATTTATTCAAATTAATATTTCTAAACGAACGTTGCAAGATCTTTCCTAAATATGGATCATGCCATAAATGGGCGACGTTTATTTTATTTCCATAACTTGTCACATAAACAAACTTGAATACGTGTTCACGTTTGGTATAGTTTTCAGGAAGTAACAAAAAACCTGAAGTGAATATTTAACTTGTAAAGAAAGCGCTCGGGAGGTAGTCAAAAAGAGGGAGAGTAGGGGTAACCTACTAAGTAATTCAATGAGGTGGTGCAATATTGTTGGCGGAATTATGTTCAATGAATGTGATCTGTGTGGTCCGATGGGCGTTGATCAGGGACGAACTTAATAAATTTAGGAGTTACAGCTTTGTGTATCTGCTTTATTATTAATTAAAATTAAGCCGCGCGAAACTACGCGTTCGGTTGTCAATTATTTGTAATTGGAAATGGAATTAAGTTTGCTAATTACGCAAGCTGCTAGTCAACCATTTTAAGGATGAATTCACTCCATTTATTCTCCTGTTATAATTGACTCATATTTTAATATTATCAGGATGGGTTTACTGCTGCTTACAGTAGGGTCAAATAGTGCTTTAAATTTTAGGTTCTGTAAGAAGCAGACCTAGGCGGAACTGCGCCTATTATAATAAAGACATTATTATTATGCTGTCAGTGGCGTCATTGAGCCTCCAACATTGGTTCTGTAAACCGCAGGCCATTTCAACCCCTAATCCCAGTTCACGTTCCCGTGGCCAATCGGTGCCGAGTACTGTCATTTCGGTGAAACAATTTTTTTGAAGGAGTACGTAATAAGCAAGATGTCTGTACAGAAAATTTCACGGCAGGTACTCAACTCAACTAAAAATCTAACTCGGCGCGCTTAACAATAATCAATTAATTATCATCTGATAACGAGCTGGTTATTATTGCTATTAAGACTTACTTGTATTTGCGCCTGCACGTGGTTCTGTAGGTGCATTTTGAAAGCGACATCGTTGTGGATACTCGGACTAGATGATCCCATTAAATGCGACGCCGCCGATAGTCCGGCCGCCTCGTCTTGCTGTTGGGAATGGGACAGCAGCTAACGCAAAGGTTTAGTACGGGGCGCGTTAAAATCAACAAAACCACTTACCTCCATAAGCGACATGGATTGAGGTTTCGTCGGGAGTGGGCCGTTCGACGCGGTCACCGCTTGGCCGTCCGACACCTGCGCCAACTGAAATTTGTTTGCTTGGGGTCCGCGAATCGACAGTGAAAAACTCACCAATCGTTTGAACGCGTTCATTTCGTCCGCCGACTTGCTCTGCTTCGAGATGGAGTTGCGAGCGGCGCCTGGATCGCCGGCGCCCTGGTGAATTATGCGCGCCTCCAGTTCGGCCAGGCTCATCACCTTGCTGTTGGCGTCGAGATTTTTCGCGTGCGCGCTCTCCGCTTTGCCCTTCTGGAGCATCTCCATGAGATTGACCGGTTTTTGAGAGGAAAGTTTCAAGTTGGCGACGCCCGTGTTGGCGGCGGGCGAAATGGGCGCAAAGTACGATTCGGAGTCGCCCGGTATCGTTACGTTCGGCTCCATGATGTTAATCTCGTTGAGCAGGTTTCGGATGATGTGGTCGTCTTGAAGGGACGAGCGACGGCTGTCGTTGTTCGGCGCCTGTTTCGGACTCTCCATTTTGAACCACTGGCTGAAGCGAGAACCGGAGGCGTCACCATCGTTACCGCTTACTCCATTCTACAAATGAATCATATTTTAGCATCAACAAACGGTTCCTGCTAATTTGCCAACAAGATCCCCCCCTCCTCCCCCAAGCAATACCCGACGGTAACCAAGATTTTCTGTGTGTTAAGTGGTACTTTTTGATGGCGTTGTGCGGGAGCGAGGAATGGGAATAGGTCGTAGCGCATATTTCATAATGTTTATAATAAATAAACAAAAGAAAAAACAAGAGAGACACCCGAAAACATGGAGGAAATTAACAACATGATGATAACCCTTAACAAGAGTATGATGGAAATGAGAAATCAGAAAAGAAATAACGGAAATAAGAGAAGAGTTTAAAAAGCAAATGCAGGAACTGAAGAGGCAAAATCAAGGGAAGGAAGAAAAATGGAACAAAGAAAAACGAGAACTAGAGGAGAGAATGGACAAAATAGAATGGAGACTGGAAAAAGAAGAAAGGATGAAGAAAAAAAATAACGTTATAATTAAAGGAGGAGGAGCAAATAATATTAAGGAAACCGACGCAATAAATTTCCTAAGAAATGAATTAAAAATAAATATTTCTAGTACAGAAGCCCGTACAATACAAAATGGAGAACGAAAAATAGGGATTCTAATAAAATGTACAAATTGGGAGGAAAAAATGGAATAATGAGGAACAGACAAGCCCTAAGAGATAAAAAGTAAAAAGTAATCGTAAACGATTTACATAAAGCGCATTTCCACTTGCATTCATTTCCCATTTGTAAGATGCAACTTCTGTTAAAAATCGTAAAAATCCGGTAAAAATCCGCCCACAAATATGAAAGATAGCGTTGCACATGGGCAATCCATTTTTCACGTGCTACTTCAATTTCAGTTTATGAGAAGAATTTCATTTCAATGCTTTTCTAAATAAGAAAGTTGGAACTGCGCATGCGCAAACCTAAATTTTAAAACTAAATTACTATAACTAACTAATAAACTAAGATTTTCCTTTGTTCCAAGCGCCTAAGTATCAAATTTCACTTAAATAGTTCCATAGATAAAAAAGTTGGCACGGCGCATGCGCAAAAAAAATTTTGAAACTGGCGCTAGATTTTCCTTTATTCCAAGTGCCTATGTATCACATTTCATTTAANTGCAATTCAGTTCATAACTAACTGAGATGTAAAAGCGATCGAACATTTCTAAACAAAGTTATGGTTCACACGGACAGATAGATGGACAGACAGACAAAGGAACAGACGGAGAGACCAACCGGCAGGCGACAGATAGCAATGCAAAATTATAAACGATCTCTAGGATCGTTAATAAACGGCAAAAGTGTAAAATTATGGAACATGTAAAAAACGGTTTTTTTGTTTTTTCTACAATAACTTTTTTTGTAAGCGGTACAGAAAAAATTCCTTCCTTGGTACAAGACTCGACACCATAACGAACCAAATAGCGAAAAAAGTAGAACAATAGCTCTTTAGATAAAAAACTAGGTAGTCGTCGCAAAAGTTAGCGGACGGGACGCGACGCGCACAAAGTGGCCCACAATAGCGCATTTTTTTTTTATTTTTGTGGAAATGCGCTAAAAAGGAACATATCGATAACTACTTGACGTTTACAGAAAGAGAAGTGCAAAAGAAGATTCGAGAAAGGATGGAGGAAGAAAAAGAAAAAGGCAATACAACAAATAAGGGATATATGAAGCCATTGATAAATGATATATGGTTCAAGTGGGACGAGAGAGATGGTAATTTAACGACAAAAAACTAAACAAGCATATACAATCGGCGACGGGGGGGAAGATCACACAAACAATTAACAAAGGAACAACAGATGACAACAAAAAGAAACAAAAAAAGGAAGAAAAAAAGAAAAAACGATGGGGAAACACGAAAATGGAAAACAAGAAAGAAAAATGATACTAAAAGATGTACGATGGAGAGTGTTTACATTATACAATCACATGAATATGAAGAGGATAGTGGACGAGCTGAACAAGATAATAGAAGAATCGGAAGATGACGTTATAATAATAGGAGGGGATCTAAACGGGCGGATAGGTAAGGAAGGGTCATGGATCGCTCGCACAGAAGAAGAAGATAACAAAAGAAAATCAAAAGATAACGTGACAAATAAAGAAGGGAAAGAATTGATTAACTTCGTAGAAGAAAAAGGGTGGTACATCCTCAATGGAAACGTGAAATAAGAAGCAGAGGGCAGTCGGTATAAGACTATATTATTCTAAATTAAAAAGGGAAAGAACACAAAAAATTTTCAAGTAGACCAAAGAATAGAATCCGATCACCAACCAATATCCACAACGATCAAAGGCAGTGCTGACACACAATACAGAAAACAAACAAAAGATATTACAAAAACGAGACAAATCTGGACAGAACAAACAATAGAAAAATACAGATAACATGTAAAGCAGATAGAATTCAAAGAAACTGAATGTGATGCTGCACTAGACGAAATCAAAAAGGCAATAACTAAAGCGGTCACAGAAAAAACAGCAAAAATAAACAACTGGACACCAGGAAGAAGAAAGTGGTGGGTCACAGAATGTAAAGAGAAAAAACAAATTACAAAAAAGCCCTAATGGATTGGAAAACAGGAAAAGACACAGGCAAAGAAAAAAGAATATAAGGATACATGCAAACGCAAAAAAGAAGGATTACAAAAATAGGAAATAAGAGAAATACAAAGCATCAAAAACGAAAATGAAGTGTGGAAATTAATAAACAAAGGGAGGAAAAATAAAGAAGGGATACCGGACGACATTGGAGAAGACGAAAGGAAAAACTACTTTATACAAAGTTTAAACGGATAAGCTTCAGAGGGGAAAAAACAAAAAGAAATGAAAAGGAGGATGAAGAAATAGGGGAAGAAGAAATGGAAGCAAAAATAGCAAAGATGAAAAAAAAGAAAGCGCCCGGAACAGACCAAATAACAAATGAGACGATAATACATGCGCCGGAAAACGTGAAACAGCAAATCAGAAAAATTATTAACAGGGCATGGAGAGGAGGAGGATTTCCGGAAAGTTGGAAAGAAGGAGAAGTATGCCCAATATACAAAAAAGGAAACAAAGATGACATCAAAAACTATAGGGGAATCACACTCCTAAACTCGACATACAAACTTTACGCTAAAATACTAAACAACCGATTAAATGAAGAAGTAGAGGACAAAGAAATTCTAGATGAAACACAAATGGGCTTTAGGAAGGGAAGGGAGACGATAGACAACATATACATAATAAGTCACGCAGTACAACAAGAACTGGAAAAGAAAGGAAGTAAAGTCTACGCCCTATTCATAGATCTAAAGGCAGCATTGGATAATCTAGACAGGAACGAATTATATAAGAGCTTGGAAAAGAAAAATATCGACAGCAACACAATAGAAAGGATTAAAGAAATCTATAGAAAAACAAAGAGTAAAGTTAAAGTCAATAAGAAACACACGGACTATTTTTAGACGGAAAATGGAGTCAGGCAAGGATGTCCGCTAAGTGCAACCCTTTTCAACATTCACGTGGCAGACCTGGAAGAAGCATTAAGAAAATGGCAAGCAGGAGGAATAAAAATTGGAGGACAAAAGATATGGTCATTAACATACGCGAATGACAAGGTGCTCCTTGCAACAAAGCAATCAGAAATGAAGGAAATGATCAGACAGTTAGAAAGGTACGCAAGAAGAAAGAAATTCGTAATAAACACAGAAAAATCAAAAATAATGGTTTTTGCAAAAGGAAGAAAGAAGAATAAGGACGAGACATCGTGGAAAATCGAAAGAAGAAGTTTCGGAATAAGAAATAAAGAAAAAAGTAAATGGATTAATACCGCAGATATGAAGCATAGCAGAAAGAAAATTCAAAAACAACTATAGAATCAAGAAAATGATGTTCGACTACCAGTGATGTACGTGGCAGAAATATGGGGGTGGAAGGAGGTAGAGGACATCGAGCGGATACAAAACAAATACCGAAAATGAATCATAGGATTGGCAAGAGATACCCCAACTACCATTCTTCTGGAGGAAACCAAACAAGATAAGATGAGAATAGAAGCGGGATATAGAGCAATTAAATACGGAGAAAGGATAGAAAGAGGAGAAAACAGGAGAAAGAAGACCAAAAAAGCAAAGTGCACAGAAGAAAGAAGAAGATATTTCCAAAGGAATGGGTATGCAGAAGATGAGGCGGAAAGATTAAGGAGAGAGGAAGTAAATATACCAATGATTATGAAGGACAGAGAGAAAGGCCCGTATGAATAAAAGTAAGCAAATGCTTATACTTGCAAAATTCAAAGTAAATACTCGTAAGTGCTCCTTCGCACTGGGCGACTTATGCAGCGCTTCTAAGCAGAAGGACAGGACGCAGTGCAGCGCTGCTAAACCATGCTAAACAGACCAGTATGAAGGGGCAGTTACCAAGTATTTACTTTGAATTTTGCAAGTATAAGATACGGGCCAAAGACAACCAATTACAATACCAAATCAATCAAATAGAAAACAGCACCTACAATACCACGTACAAAAGAAATAAAAACATTACACTTGCCAAAATATCTACAGAAGAACAACAAAAATATAAAAACCATTGCAAGATTTAGATGCGGAAATGAAAACAGGACCGCGGGAAAAGATGGAAGGAAGAAACAGAGACGATACAACAAGTGATATACAGATGCAGCAAAACCAAAACGAGCAAAACAGTAAAGGAAATATTACATGGACGAGGAATTGACTGGATGAGAAGGACGTTGCAGAGAAGAGAGGAAGCTAAAAGAGAGGAACAAGAATAAACATTATTTAGCAAAAAAAAAAAAAATTATACGCTCGGATGTTTCCCATTCTAATATTTTTAATCAATGATTAACCTTAATCATCGTTTGTGAAACTGGGCATTAGTGTCATACATATGGTATGTACAGGGTGAGTCAATGATTGCGCGGAGTAACTTAATGCCTTGAAGATAAGATTTTTCGATAGAGTGCTTTTGTATTATGATACAGTTGAATATTCTCCACATTTTAAAAATATTTGGAATTATACAGAGTGCGCCCACAAAGTAGGACACCAAAATGGTACATTTTTTTAAATAGAACCCCCTGTATTTGATTGCATTTTATAATTCTACATGTAATTGTACATCTTTTTTATTATATGGTTAATATCCGAAAAACTGATAGGTTTAAAGATAATTCGATTTGTAAGAAAAATTGGTCATTTCTAAGTGTCAGTATATTGTCAAAATTATTACTTAAATTTTGATTCCAGGATTTATATCTTTTATCCTGGGTTAAGTAAAAGTCAAATGAATACATCTACTATGAAACATGAAAAAAATAGCTTACAGGGTGTTTTTTTGGTAGGTCCAAACATCATATTAAAAATCTCCATTTTTTTAATGGAACACCCTGTATATTTTTCGGTCATCTTTTAGCTCCTCCAAAAACCTTCAGCTTTTGATAATAATGTAACGTGATTTATTAATTCGAGTTCGATTTATATCAATATTTATTAAACAAAACTAAAACACTATAAAATCCGTACAATTTATATCGATTATTTATATCACACACTTCGAAATTTATATCAGCTTTTCGCGCTCTATGTTTCGTTCGCACTCGATCTCGTTCGATAGTAGACTGTCGCGATGTTCGGTCCGCAACCATTTATACACGCAAGCAATGTAAGTCCAGTACATTCTCGAATACGCGTAGAAAATTCCAGAGTGCCAAAGGCGACGTCATGTCTGCAGCATTTGTCCTATACCTATCTCTGATAGTTTTCGAAATATCTTGGTTTCCCTAGGTTTTATATTCTAATCTTAAATAAGTTATATGTAATTTACGTAATAGTGAGGTGGCCATGCAAAAAAAGGCAATTTTTATATATCTCGTCCAAAACGAAAATCATATCGATTAATTTATTTCTCAAACAATTTATTTTAAGTCCAAAAACTGAAGAATAAGCAAAAACATTTGACTACAAAGCAAATTTAATTTAACTCCTAATGTCATCCAGTCAGTGATATTAGTTTCAATTTTTTTTCATATTCACCTCGTTGTTATGTAAATTAGAACTTATTTCAGATTAAAATATAAAAAATTGAAAAACCAAGATATTTGTTTATGTTTTTACCTCGGTTTTTACTATCCAATTTATTCTCCAGTTTTTATAGACTTAAATGAATTAATAAATATGATTTTAGCTTTGAACGAGGTAGATAAAAATTGCCTTTTTTTTTGCATGGCCACCTCACTATTATGTAAATTACATATAACTTATTTAAGATTAGAATATAAAACCCAGGGAAACCAAGATATTTCGAAAACTATCAGAGATAGGTATAGGACATTATTATCAAAAGTTGAAGGATTTTGGAGGAGCTAAAAGATGACAGAAAAATATACAAGATGTTCAATTTAAAATAGTGAGATTTTTTAATATGAAGTTTTGTAACTTTAGATGTACAAAAAAAAAAACACCCTGTAAGCTATTTTTTTAATGTCTCATAGTAGATGTATTTATTTGACTTTTACTTAACCCAGGATAAAAGATATAAAACCTGGAATCAAAATTAAAGTAATACTTTTGACAATATACTGACGCTTGCAAATGCCCAATTTTTCTTACCAATCGAATTATCTTTAAAACTACTAGTTTTTCGGATATTAACCATATAATAAAAAAAGACGTACAATTACACATAGAATTCAAAAATGCATTCAAATACAGGCGGTTCTATTTAAAAAATGTACCATTTTGGCGCCCTACTTTGTGGGCGCACCCTCTATAATTCCAACTATTTTTAAAATGCGGAGAATACTCAACCATATCATAATACAAAAGCACTCTATCGAAAAATCTTATCTTCAAGGCATTAAGTTACTCCGCGCAATCGTTGACTCACTCTGTACCGGGTGACCCAATAAGACTGTTCCTCGGGCATATCTCGGGAACCGTTCGTCGTATGACTTAGGGGTAAAAAATTATTGGGTAAATCGGTTATGAAGAATAGCTGGAAAATATTTTCAAGTTCTAAAAATGACCACCAGAGGGCGTAACTGCTATCTTAAATTTTAAAATTGCACTTTCTTTAAATTTCGCATAATAAACTAAACATTCTTTTTTCACATTTTTAAAGAGAACCAGTTTATCTATCACTTTCGTAAAAACAAAAACTCAAGTTATTTCAAAAACAAAGATGGCGTGGGGCGTTCAATTGTTTTTGTAATAACCTGCTTTAACTTCTTAACCGTTTGACCGATTGTAACAAATTTGGTATCGTTGAAAAGAGCATTCCTTGGGCAACAAGAGTCAACAAAAAATATAGTTAATTTAGTTGAATCCTTCTCCGCCAGGGAGCTAGTTTTGACACTATGATCCAAAATCCTAAAAAAATTAAATGGAATATGACTTTTTCTTTATGAAAAAGTAGCCAAATAACACCCAAAGAGGCCAGTGAAAACCGTTTGTCAAAATCTCGTTCCTAACCTCAAATTTAGGGAAAATGAGATTAATTAATAAAAATGCTTAAATTATATCTTATTTGACGTATTTCCGGTATTTCTCGATGGCGCGAAAGAAAAGCACCCTACACTTTTAGGTAGGCCTTGGAAAATTAAACATGATGCATTATAAAATAATAACAGTCGTAATTTGTAAATTATTCTGCTGTGTTTACATTCAGAAAGTGCAGTTTTTTGAATTTGTAATCTTTTCTAAAATGCCGATTTCTCACCAAGAAGCATTTAATATGCTGGCGATATATTTCGAGTGTTTTCAAAATGCGACCATCGCTGTCCGCATCTTCTATTTGCGTTATCCGAATCGACCACGAACCATCGCCACCAGCATATTAAATGCTTCCTGCTTAGAAATCGGCATTTTAGAAAAGATTACAAATTCAAAAAACTGCACTTTCTGAATGTAAACACAGCAGAATAATTAACAAATTACGACTGTTATTATTTTATAATGCATCGTGTTTCGTTTGTTTAATTTTCCAAGGCCTACCTAAAAATGTAGGGTCATTTTCCAAACAATCTTTCGCACCATTGACAAATACCGGAAATACGTAAAAAAAATTTAAGATACAATTTAAGCATTTTTATTAATTAATATCATTTTCCCAATATTTGAGGTTAGGAACGAGATTTTGAAAAACGGTTTTCACTGGCCTATTTGAATGTTATTTGGTTACTTTTTCATAAAGAAAAAGTCATATCATTCCATTTGATTTTTTTAGAATTTTGGGTCCGAGTTGGGGTCATGGTGTCAAAACTAGCCCCCTACCGGAGAAGGATTCAACTAATTAACTATATTTTGGTTGATTCTTATTGCCCAAGGAATGCTCTTTTCAACCATACCAAATTTGTTAAAATCAGTCAAACGGTTGAGAAGTTAAAGCAGGTTATTGCAAAAATAATTGAACGCCCCACGCCATCTTTGTTTTTGAAATAACTGAGTTTTTGTTTTTACGAAAATGGTAGATAAACTGGTTCTTTTTAAAAATGTGAAAAAAGAATTTTTAGTTTATTATCCGAAATTTAAAGAAAATGCAATTTTAAAATTTAAGATGGCAGTTGCGCCCTCTGGTGGTCATTTTTAGAACTTGAAAATATTTTCCAACGATTCCTCATAACCGATTTACCCAATAATTTTTTTTACCCCTAAGTCATATGATGAACGGTTCTCGAGGTATAGCCGAGGAACAGTCTTATTGGATCACCCGGTACATACCAAACAGTCCCCGAAGCCGAAAGGCTAAGGTTAATAAATAACTAAAATATTTAAAAAATTTCTTAAACATTTTTTTGTTTCCATGAACCTCCTGTTAAAAAATTTGAAAAATCCGTCTGCAAATAAGAAAGTTGGCTCTGCGCATGCGTCATAATTTTTTTGCGTCTGCTGATACAGCCACACATCGCCGCGTTTTAAAAAAAAAACATGGCTGCCAACACCCTAGAAGTTTTAAAAGTAAATAAACTAAATACTTACGGGTAACAAATTGGCGATCGTATCACATTTAAGGATGTCATCAAAATTAAAGGGATTCGCTGTCTCGCCGATCTCCTTCTTCGATTCCTCCCTCTCCTTGTCGAGCGCCGGCGGCGAACGCTTACCGAAACCTATGGGCACCACGTCGGGCGTATTCGTTTTAATCTTCAACTCGCCGTCCTTCGCGTCCGGCTGAGATTCGGACGTCTTCGCGTTGCCGCGCTCCTTCAGTCGTTTCTTCTGCGCGTTCGAGAGCTTCTTCTTGCCGAGCCTCTCGCAGTCGGAGTCGTCGAAACCTCGCAGCTCGATCGTGTCCGCCTGCGAGACGGGCCCGCCCGTAAACCACTCGGGCTCATCGTCGCGATTCTCGCTCGGCATGCGCCGCCGTTCGTTGAAGCGATTATTGCGGTGCTTGTCTTTGTCCTTGCCGGCGTCGTAGTCGCGTCCGAAGGGGCGCCGCTCGAAACGATCGTCGCGCCGGTAACCGAACTCGTTATCGACCGCCTGCTTCTCCTGGAAATCCCAGGGGATGTCGCGGCTGAGTATGCGACCGCTGCCTATGCGTCTCGCGCCCTGCGGTATCTCCCGATGTCCAATGTGTTGGGTGTCCGGTTTGCCGCCGATCGGGCTGTGCTGTCGATTCGGACGCTGATTCTCCTTGAGGGGTACGAAACAGCCCGAATTGAAGCTGCGGCGCTGCGGACTGAGCACGATGCCGTCCTGCTCCTTCCGTATCCGTTCCCGCGGATCGCCGGGTCGCCTCTGAAATTCACCGGCATAAACTAATCGTCGGCATAAAGTAAACAACGTTTAGAGATACCGCACGGTGTAAATTTTTGTTGGCTAGGGACTATCGTTGAAAGAATCAAGTGTCTTCCTCTTAATTCCAGAGTAGTGTACTTATTTTCCTTCTAGGATTCGAACCTTCGCAATTAAAAGCTCGCGAGTATCAAGCTTTTTATGATATAATTATGTAACTGTACAGGGTGGCCAACTAAGAATGCGAGGTACTGTATCTGGGAACCTCTCCATCGTAGAGGCTTGCGGTAAAAAAATTTATTACTAAAACGGGCACGAGAAAAACCTGGAAAATCTTTTTAAGTTTCTGAAATGACCGCTAGGGGGCTTAACTGCAATCTGGAATCTAAAAAAGTGATGTTTCTGTGAATTCCGCTATATTAACCTAACAAAAAAATGTCCGGTCTTTGAAGTTGACGATAATCTGAACCTTTTTTGTTTGACAATTTTTCCTGTATTTCTAAAAATGAAGTGGTGGAGGGTATTCAAAGGTTTCCGTAAAGAACACCCTGTATCTTCGTAACGGCTGAGCCGATTTAAACAAACTCGGGTTAGTTCAAAAGAGCTATTCTTCAGCTACAAATATTATACTATTTGAAGTTTTGTTAGTTTCACATATCACCGCTTGAGGGATTTCTTCGTAAAAAGTAACGGCGGCATTAAAAGCTTCCTTTTTTAAATCGATCCACCTTAGGGCCACAAATTATATAATAATTCCGGAAAAATTAGCTTAAAAAAATAAAATTTTGAGGGTATAAAATTGTCTTTGGTCTAAATTTTAGGTTAGGAACAAGATATCGAGATGCGGTTTTCGCGAGCTTGTCTAGGCATCATTTAGCTACTTTTTAATGAAAAAAAATCGCACCAACACATTTAATTTTTTTGAGAAAATTAACCATTTCTGTCGGAATGTCGAAAAAAGCCCTCAAGCGGCGATATGTGAAACTAACAAAACTTCAAATATTATAATATTTGTAGCCGAAGAATAACTCTTTTCAATTAAACCGAGTTTGTTAAAATCGGCTCAGTCGTTTCGAAGATACAGGGTGTTCTTTACGGAAACCTTTGAATCCCCCCCCCCCTCCCACTTCATTTTTAGAGATACAGGAAAAATGGTCAAACAAAAAAGGTTCAAATTATCGTCAACTTCAAAGACCGGACATTTTTTTGTTGTTAGGTTAATATAGCGGAATTCACAGAAAAATCACAGATTGCAGTTACGCCCCCTAGCGGTCATTTCAGAAACTTAAAAATATTTTCCAGGTTTTTCTCGTGGCCGTTTTAGTAATAATGTTTTTTACCGCAAGCCTCTACGATGGACATGTTCTCAGGTACAGTACCTCGTATTCGTATTTGGCCACCCTGTATACATGTCCTACGTCCCACGCATACCTATAAATTGCGCGGCCAGCAAAATGGTTTTTATTTTCATAACTTGCGTTTACATTGTGACTGGATATTATTATAACATGTGCGCGTCAAGAATTAAAAAAAAGGGTTATATTATTGAATGATCGTCTTGTGATACTTGGGGGCATTTGTGGATATGGGTGTCTAAAGGGGTCCGTTAACTTGGCCCCCCCACTGTTAGATTTGATAGTCGTATTATTTTAAAAAGAATGCGCTTGTTATGCGCTCATATGCGCCACCGATAATAACTCTTGCGCCATTATCATTTTTTAGAAATCCGAAAAAACATTTGGATGGGGGGGGGTCAAGTGAACGTAGCCCCCCCTCCCCTCCCCAGTACGTATTGTGTCGCTTGTAACTAGGTCACCTGATACATTTGGTTATGCGCTCAATTGCGCCACTTGAATTAAAGCTAGCGCCATTACGGTTAAGCCGTGATTTTCAAAAGGGGGGGGGGGCAACTTAACGTTTTTGTTTTTAAAAGTTACTTTTTTTAAACATCTTTTCATACGAAATTGTACTCCGAGGTATGCGCTAAAATGCGCCGTAAAAAGATATCATTGCGCCGTAAAAAGATATCATTGCGCCATTCTTGTTTTTTTGGTTATCCTTAAATATATTAAATATATATTTTGCTACCGGTATTTGTGCCACTCGATACATCTGGTTATGCGCCCAATTGCGCCACTTGAATTAAAGCTAGCGCCATTACGGTTAAGCCATAAAAAATCTTTAAAAAGTGGGGGGGGGGGAGCTAACTTTTTCAAAAGTGACGTTTTTTAACATGAATATTCTACTACATCGTACTTTTCATTTTGCGCTACAATTCGCCGTAAACAAAAATCTTTGCACCATTATAGTGTTCCAGAAAAACTATACAGGGTGTTTTTTTTTGGGAGCTTTAGTTAAACGTTTTTTGATACCCACATGTCGATATCTACCATTTATGGTTTTTAAGTTATTTTGACTTTAAGAAAAGAAATGGCGGATGCAGATGGTACTTTGATAATTGATTACTTGAAAACTGTTGTAGTCATAGCAACCTATTTTTATCAGTGCAAATGAAAAATGTGTCCGATAGGTATTTTCGCACAATTAGGACGTTGTGCGCGGGTGCGGAAGTAAAGAGAATCTGGTTATCGTGAAAGCATCATAATAGCTCTTTAATTGCGCCATTTTTCCCTAATTTGACCATCGTCATATCTTGTATAGTTTCGGATGTGTATATCTTGGACACAGTGTATACTGCAAAGGGGTCCTAAAATGCGCATGGTGAGAGGTACACGGTAGTGCAAAAAAACATGTTAAAAACGTAACTTTTGAAACCGTGAAGTTAGTCTCTACAGCACTTTTTGAAAATTTGGCACGACTAACAGCGACTGCGCCATCTTTAATTCAATTGGTGCAATTAAGCGTATAACCAGATGGCATAGATACTGACAAAATACATAGTGGAGGCAGTGAGGGGGGGGGATGCATACTTAACTCCTCTCAAATGCATTTTCGCATTTTAAAAAATTAGATAATGGTGTAAAAATTATCATCGGTGTGCGCATGTGAGCACATTACTTTATACAGTCAGTCCTATGACTTTGTAATCTCTAAAAGGGCGGGGGGGCGGGGTTAAATTAAAATTAGCAGACGATCAAATCAAATAACACTAACATCCATCGTTTTAATAATATCTTTGACTTCTCCGCATTGCCATTAGCATTACTTTTACTCGAGGTGCGTACATACAATTTCATTTAAATATCTTAATATTTATACAAAAATTGGATTGCGCAAGCGCAATATTATTTTTTCATCTTCAAACTTGTTTGTGGTTTAAGGAATACTTACTGACACAGAAAACCGGGCATTTATATGTTCTTTGTAACTTGAATTTATTATAAAAGATACCATTCTTTGAAGGTTCGGGCAGTTTTTGGGCTGTAACTTTTTGGCCCGTTAGTTTACGTAACTGAAAAACAATAGCGACCTTTCTAATATCCTTAAAAACATTGTGTACCAATTTTCAATGCGACCAGACGTTTCTAAATAAAGTTATCGTGCACAGGCAGACGGACAGACATTTACAAGAAGGTAGTAGATGGCGCTGTGTTTGAAGATCGACACACACATAAAAAATATAAAACGGCACAAATCAAACGATATCACGCTTGGATCTTTGAAATTGACAGCTAATGACGTACAGTTGCAACTTTCATGAATGATGACGTAATTTCATTTAAAGCTCAGCTTTGAAATATCTTAAGCTCTTCTTAAAGGCCCCTATAGACGGATATAACCAAGCATTTTTCACTAGATAGCAGTACTCAGGGCCGGCTCAAGACAAAAGTTACGTGTAAGCAAGCACTAAAATTTGCGCCTCTGTCCGCCTCGCTAAAGCCTGAATAATACGAACTTTTGGCAAGCATGTTTTTAAAAATTAAAAATGGTAGCTTTAACGCATTTTCCATGAACTCATCTGTACTTCCGGACAGGTCATGCAACGGACTGTTTTTGTATACAGGGTGGCCAAATAAGAATGCGAGGTATTGTATCTGGGAACCTGTCCATCGTACAGGCTTGCGGTAAAAAAATGTATTACTGAAACGGCCACGAGAAAAACCCGGAAAATATTTTAAGTTTCTGCAATGGCCGCTAGGGGGCGTAACTGCAATCTGGAATTTAAAAAAAAATTTTCTGCGAATTCCGCTATATTAACCTAACAAAAAAATGTCCGGTCTTTAAAGACGACGATAATCTGAACCTTTTTTGTTTGACAATTTTTCCTGTATCTCTAAAAATGAAGTGATGGGGGGTATTCAAAGGTTCCCGTAAAGAACACCCTGTATCTTCGAAACGACTGAGCCGATTTTAACAAACTCGGGTTAATTGAAAAGGGTTATTCTTCGGTTACAAATATTATAATGTTTGAGGTTTTGTTAGTTTCACATATCGCCGCTTGAGGGCTTTTTTCGACATTCCGACAGAAATGGTTAATTTTCTCAAAAAAATTAAATGCGTTGGTTTGATTTATTTTTCATGAAAAAGTAGCTAAATGATGCCTGAACAAGCTCGCGAAAACCGCATCTCGATATCTTGTTCCTAACCTAAAATTTAGGCCAAAGAAAATACCCTCAAAATTTTATTTTTTTAAGGTAATTTTTTCGGAATTATTTTTATTATATAATTTGTGGCCCTAAGGTGGATCGATTTAAAAAAGGAAGCTTTTAATGCCGCCGTAAATGCTCGAAATGCTGGCCATCACGGTATAAAATATATAACTTGTTTAGGCATCATTTAGCTACTTTTTCATGAAAAAAATCGTACCAATGCATTTAATTTTTTTGAGAAAATTAACCATTTCTGTCAGAATGTCGAAAAAAGCCCTCAAGCGGCGATATGTGAAACTAACAAAACTTCAAATAGTATAATATTTGTAGCTGAAGAATAGCTCTTTTGAACTAACCCGAATTTGTTTAAATCGGCTCAGCCCGTTTCGAAGATACAGGGTGTTCTTTGCGGAAACCTTTAAATACCCCCCACTTCATTTTTAGAGATAGGTACAGGAAAAATTGTCAAACAAAAATTGTTCAGATTATCGTCAACTTCAAAGACCGGACATTTTTTTGTTAGGTTAATATAGCGCAATTCACAGAAAAATCACTTTTTTAGATTCCAGATTGCAGTTACGCCCCCTAGCAGCCATTTCAGAAACTTAAAAATATTTTCCAGGTTTTTCTCGTGGCCGTTTTAGTAATACCTTTTTTTTACCGCAAGCCTCTACGATGGACAGGTTCCCAGATACAGTACCTCGCATTCTTATTTGGTCACCCTGTACAAAGGAAAGTAAGTTATGGCGTAAATATTCTTATAAATAAGAAACTTAAAATTGCGTAGTCTGCACATGCACCACCTGATGTTTAAAGTATGCGATATGTTTGCCTTTACTAGAAGAATCTCTCGTTAAAATTAAAAAAAATCTATAAATAATAAAGTTGACATTGCGTAGTTTGCGCATGCGCACATCTGATTTTTACAATATGCGATATGCTTGTCTTTACTAGAAACATCTGTGGTTGTTAATTAATGCCATGCAGATATTTCAGTGGGTGGCAGCGCTCGTCAAAATAATAAAAAAAATGAAAGTATGTGCGTGATCTAAAGGACGCCATTTTTGTTATACAGGGTGGCAAGGTTTCAATTCTGTTCTCGTATTTTGCGTTTTCTCCCTTATGTTCTGGGATAATTGTTTCAAATTTGATAGATCAATTTGTTTTTAGAATCATTACAATAAAGTATCAAAATAGTTGGTCGCAATACACAGGGTGTTGCATTTTCTTTATCACCCCGTCTAACGAAAACGACGGCTTTTAGGCCATGCATATATTTGCATTTTTCTTATTGGGACGTCGACGAGTATCACGATCACCTCCTGAAATATCTGCATGACATTAATTAACACCCTGTATAGAGGTTCATTTATTACTAGCGAACTTCGTACTGCCTATATCAGGTAATGTCCCGCTAATTCCAATTCAGCGGAATTGAACAATAGGTTACCTATTTGTAGGTTTATGTGTTCTCATATTTTTTTGAAAAACAAAGCTGTACAAAAATGCTACAGAGTTTTCCGAAGGGATAACACGTCTGCTTTTTATAAATATGCTTCCCGTGTACGGATTTTTACGTCTGTAAAAAATGAGTAATTTTTGCGCCCCTCTCGTCTGCGACGTAAGCGCTAGGTTACACCGCTTACGCCTAAAGCCGGCCCTGGCAGCACTGCATGGGCATAATTGTCATAAACCAACATTCCCTATCCCGTGGCATCTCTAAATGTTATTTCGAGTGTTATTTACTCTACGCCGTCGGCTAAAAACGGCTTCCTTACCTTGTGAATGTCGAGAGGTTCCGGACCTAGAAGAGTATCGACTGTGTTTCGATGCCATAACTCGGGGTCCCAAAATCCGTTAGGGCTGTAAACAATTCAGAAATTTACAGTAGTCGACCTCCGAAGCGCACGGACTTACTTATTAAACGTATTGCATAGGTGCTCGGGTCGCTTCTGAGACAGCGGAACCTGTCGCAGTTGCATCAACTCCTCGCGCGTGTATCGATACACGGGTTGTCCGGGTTTAACGGCGAGAATCGCCGGATCATTTAATTCCGTCGCGTCCACATTCAATGACAAACTCAATCCGTCCATCTGCTCGTCCCCTAAAACCAAACGATTAGCACCTACACGTAGCGACACTCTCCGTCGTCCTACTCCACGACACGTGCAACGTCTCCGAACGCCGATTTCGGCGTCTACTCAACAAACCGTTACCGGTCGATTTCAGGCTCGTGCTTCTAGAACGGCCCATGTTTTGCGTGGAGCACGTGGCGGCGCGTAAAACAAAAAACAGAGAGGGGAGGTGCGAACAACGAAAACTAAACGAGGTACGACACTTAAAAACGACGAAAAGTTAAAAATTGAGTTATCAGTTTTGAGAGGTAAAAATGGTGCAGCGCGAACTTGAAGGTGAACAAAATGGACAGGTCGGGAATTTCGAAAATTGAAAAAATTGCGCAAAAAAGTCCCCCCAACATGGCGCGGGACCTGCGCCTCAAAAATAAAAGGGGAACAAATACTCACTATCTTTAGCTGGAACCTGATCTATCTTTTGGGTCTCATCGTCCGCGAACGTCGTGGCCGCCGCAGCTGAAGGTGTTGTTGTTGTTGTTGACACAGACATCGCACTAGGATACTTGCATTTAATAAAGAATACCATACCGTACCATACTTGGTTAACTTACGTAAAATTTTTTAAGTAAATTGTCAGACTCGCAATTTAAGTTGTAAATATTCAAAATTCATAAATAACAAAGCGATTTATTTTGTTGTTACTTTAACTAATAGTAATATCACAGATAGTTTTCTTCATTCACAAATTAAAAAAGTTTCAACATACGTACTCACGAAAAACGATTTTATTTTAACGATTATTCTTGTATATACAACGGGTTTCGACGTCGGTGCGGTTTGTTAACGTAAAATTAATAAATAATGCGAATACTCGCACTGTAAACTGCGTAAACAGTATTTCTGAAGCAAAAGTGCAAAAAATAGAAAACGGACGCCATATGCATTTCTCATTGTTCTACTTCTGTCTTTATCTTTTACATACGCGGCCTACTATAGTTGCTTACGGTTGCGATTGTAAATCCGGCAGAGGACGCCACGTATTTTGATTTATTCTGGTACTGTTCAGTGGCGTAACAAAATGAAAGGTTAGCCGGGGTATTGATTTATAACTGTCGAATAATAAAATGCCGTATGCACCGAAAAAGTTTAAGCTGAGCTGAGCTTAAAATCCATTGTCCCAATAATCGTTACCATGGATAGCAAGCTCCGCTTAAACTTTTTCGGTGCATTTTTTGGAAATTATAAATTAAAATAAACACAGTTTAAGGTAAAATGTGTAAAATATACACGTCAATCAAAATTATATGTCAATCTATATACCTATTTGTTATGCATTTGCTTGACAAAGGGTGTAGACTTGTAGATTCTTCTTTAAAAAACTCGTGTAATATTTTCTGTCGCTTTTCGAGCGATTGGACGATGTCGAACGATATCATCAGTCGGACCGCGTTGATTAAACATGTGCTTACGAGTAAAAAATAGCAGGTGTAGTGTAGTGTACTTAACCCCCAGGTTCTACGCTAACTTCACACTATAAGAACACAGAAATAAAGTCAACCCGACAACGTTTACAAATGACCACCCGAATGACTATTCCCTCCAAAACTAATTAAGATCCCGCTTAAATTTGAAACGTGGCACGTGATCAAACATCTGAACACTTGAAGCACAGTAGGGAAGGGAAGGTTAAATAAAACACTGAAATTGTGAAAAGTTTGTTTAATAATGATCGCAATTATTAAGATTGTAAAAGCTCGGAAATTTAAGTCCAAGTCCATAATAAATTACATTGCAAAAATAAATGGTAGTTCACCGAACAACAATAGAAATAGGCTGGAAAAAAAAGAACCAATAAACCAATAAAAAAAGCACCCGTCAAATTAATATCAAATTGTGTTGTAAAATTAATTGTTTGTAATTATGTGAATGCGTAACATAAAATTATAACATGGCAAGAAGTAGCAGGTAAACTTCAAGTTATATAGGTTAAAAACAAGTTTTGGGAATTATGGGTCAGGTAAGCAGGTACCAAGATTCTAAGAAAGGGTGAAATACACAGGATGTGACTCATCTTTGATGCAATAAAGTCATTTTGTCACAAGCAAGATGGAAAATTACATGGCCTTGTAGGCAAATTTAACTAAGAACAAGATATGTGGAAATTATCGAATCGTCACTCATTTATCGCACATAGATTCTAAACTGAAGAGCTTTGATTAGCGTAATCCCGCTCCTGCAAGATAGGTAACCCGCCTCTGGTTTCGGGGTTTCGAGCCTACAGTTGAATTTCGAAGACAATCACGGAATTAGGTGTCGTAGCTCAATTTTGACCACACATTTTACCACCCCCGTGACTGCTTCATTCACGGAGAAAATTGTTAGTAACAAACAACAAGTCAGTACATACATCAAACGGATCGGTAATTTCCACATATTAAAATAAAATTATCAAAACTTACATGAATGTTACTTCAGGGACAAGACCAAGTAATCAACATCAATAAACATAAATTAAGCAAGCATTACACCAAAAACGTAAACAATTACAAATAGCATAACGGTATCACACATATGATTCTGCATTGCGATTAAACCAAGTAAATTTCAAAAACAAAGTTTGAAACACCCAAAAAATATAAAATGCGGCATACAAAACACCAATACGATATAAAGAAATGCAAAAATTACTACCTGCTATAAATAACACAAAATAACAATGAACAATATTGAGATTACTCCCAATATTATTTAGTGTAAGCACAGGGTGGTACACAGTCTCATGCACCGAATTTTAAAGACTTGGAAGCCCCGTGCTCACGTAGAGTGACTAAACGACTTTTGTGTCAATAGTAATTTATTCTACATTTTACGTTGTTTATATACAAAATTTTATACAACAATTGGCAAATTAATTGCAATCTATTAATTGCAAATTGAAAACTAACCTAGTCAATGTTGTGTGCAAATTGTCCTCATTTACAAATAATGCAATGTAATTTTATTTCTTAATCCTACTTTCTTTCCCAATTAACTATTTCTCTAATATTTGGCCAGCGCCCTTTCCTGTTTAATGGTGATATTAAACATTCTGCCAGCCGCGCCCTAATCTATCTTTTAGTTTTGTGTTTCCCCGGGAATAGTTGAATATAATGGTTCTAACTGAACTGCTTCGCGATCGTTGTCCTTGGTATGTGATTTGTTTCTGTGCTGGATGTAGAATCTTATTCCTAGTACGAGTGCCAAGATAATTGCAATGAGTAAGGTAGTTGTCGTGCTTGTAATAATGGACTGTGATGTTGTGGACCGCCATTTGATATTTCGAATATCTGCATTAAGAGTTTCTTCTTCGTCTTTTAGCTGTTTAAAAGAGTCTTCTGCATGGAATATTGATTCTTCTATTACTTTGGTTATTTGCTGAGTTGACCTTGTATGATTATATGGTTTGTTAAACTGTTTTATGTAGCTACCTAGTACTGATAACTTTTTATCCCGTTTCGGATTGAGTATACTTTTCTTTGTTTTCAACAGGCAATCTTGTGAAATCCTGATAATTCCAGTGGCATTGATCGTGATTTCCTGTCGTTCGCCACTACAGGAGATAGCGATACGTGTGGACTGATTAGTGATGAACATCCAAGTATTGGTGGCATAGAGTTGCTTCCAAATTAATCCTTGAATCTCATGTTGTTGTATATTGCATTGGTTAATTTCTGTTCTGTTGTAGACTTCGTCAATGATGCAATTTTTGTTTTCTTCTATTTTCTTCACCATAGTGGGAGCACATATAAAATTGTGTTTGTTTGTTTGTAGGCAGTCTTTGAATTCTTCATTTGATATTTCGAAATATAGTTGATTGTTGTAGTCCACAGCTAGCATTTCTTCATTGACATTTAAGGTCCAAAACGTAGAATTTTCAATTTTTATAGGAATTGGGGTGACTTTCATAATCACGTATACCGTGATCTCTGCCACCAGAAAAAACCCGAACACATGAATCACTTCCACTGTTTGTTTTGTAGTTACTTTGATTATTGGATGTGGTAAAATCTTGAGGATGCTTGGTAATTTCTGCTCTGCCGATGTAATAATACTTCTGATGTGGGTTTCTGATATAAGTTCTTGAAAGTTCCCTTGGTTGTAGTGGATGTTTCTTATTTTGCTGTAGTGATTGTGTACTTCTGTTACTAGATTCACTGCTAGTTTGATATGTACTTAAGATGTGAATATTTAGTCTGTTTTCGTCTATTGTTTTATACCATTTCTGCATCTGGTTTATGGCTTTTATCGCTTCATTTAATTTAGTGTTGAAGCGCTCTAATTGCTTCTCTATGCGGTTTTCTGTCTCTTTAAATTTTGATATAGTAGACAACATTATTTTGGATTGTCTTTCTGAATTCCGCATTAACTCTTGCTGATTCTTGTTTAACGCATCAATGTCCTTGTATACTTCGTCATTCACACCGAATATCGCCGTTAATATATTCCCCAAGATACCTCTTTTTTTACGAGTTTGACTTATGTAGTTGATTCCCTCTTGTACCCATCTCAATTGATTTTCTTGATCCTCGATATGTTGCACCAATTCTGTACATTGTACGTTTTCTGTCATTTCTGTTGCGTTCTTGCACAACTCTTTGAAATTACTAGTCGTTAGAAATGCTGCGTTTATATCCTCTTTGATTCGTGATTTGTTGTATTGTAGATCGATTCGGAATATACCTCTTTCAATTTGAACTTCTCCCATGTGTTCAATGTAGAAACCTGGCTTTGGATATGTAATATTGTATTCTGCTGTTACTGTGACCAATAGCATTAGTATGCTTATAACGAATGTTTTCAGATTGCATCCATATGCGTGTTGTTGTGATGTTGCTGTTTGATTTTTTTCTGCGGTGTTACCTTCTTCTGTCGTGATTGGTATTAGTTGATGAATACTCCTTTTTGATGCTTTCCCATCTGCCTTCTGGATGGTAACAATGCGTACAGTGCCGTCTTCTGATGGATGTAATTCTTTGATTTTTGCAAGTGGCCATTTCCCTGGACTCAAGTTGTCCTCTTTGATGAGTACTATACATCATTTATCTTTGGATTGTCTTCTTTTGTTTTCCATTTATAGCGTTGTTGTAAATTATGCAAATAATCCGTCGTCCATGCTTTCCAGAATTGTTTCTTCATGTTTTGTACCATTTTCCATCTGTTGCTTAAGTTGAGTTCTATTGTACCTGATGATTTCGCGAATGGTTCTATTATTGGTTTTCCTATTAGAAAGTGACCGGGTGTTAGTGTTGTACCTCCGTCTACTACATCACTGTTGGACTTTCCTATTGGTCTTGAATTTAAGCACGCTTCGATTTGATGAGTTAATGTAGTTAATTCTTCATATGTAAGTGTTGATTCCCCAATTACTCTTCTTAAATGGTGTTTTAAGGACTTAACTCCACTTTCCCAAATTCCTCCCATATGTGGACTTGCTGGTGGAATGAAATGCCATTGAGTTCCCGTTGACACCGATGTTTCTTGCACTTCTCTACTGTGTACTATTTGTTGAATTTCTTGCTGTATCATATTGCTGGCTCCGACGAAGTTGGTGCCGTTGTCGCTGTATATGTGTTGGCAACCACCGCGTCTTGCTGAAAATCTTCTGAAAGCCGCGATGAATGTTTCCGATGTTATGTCACTAACAACTTCTAAATGAATCGCTCTTGTTGCTAGACATACAAACACTGCAATGTATCCTTTGTATGATTTATGGCCTCTGCCTTTCCATGCTCTTACTTGTATGGGACCGGCATAGTCAATTCCACAATGTTCGAACGGTGATGATGGTGTTATTCTGGATGCTGGCAGATCTCCCATTATTTGATGTAATGTTTGTCCCTTATGTCTTATGCATGTATTGCACTTGTTGATGATTTCTCGAACTGTTCTTCTACCGGTGATAATCCAATATTTTCTTCTTAAATATGCTAATGTTATTTGAAGACCTCCATGTAATGTTTTTTGATGTGCATCCAAAATCAGTAGTCGTGTTAGATGGCTGTTTGCTGGTAGAATGTATGGATGTTTTTCGTTGTATGATAAGTAAGAATTGCGTAACCTCCCTCCTACCCTAAGTAAACTGTCTTCATCTTGAAACGGATTGAGCGATTCTAACTTGCTGTCCTTGTGTACTTGTTCTTTCTTACTTAACTTTTGTATTTCCCTTGGATATGTATTCTGTTGTGTTACTTGTATATGTTTCTTTAATGCCGTATTGAGTTCTTCTACTGTTAAATGTTCGTCAGCTACTGTAATTTTTTTGCAATGCTTGATGAATCGAATGATGTATGCTGTCACTCGAATTAGTTGTGTTAGTGAAGAAAACCTTTCTGCTAGCTCGTTCCTATTGTTCACTATTATTGTCATAGTTTTCTTGCTCTCTACCTCTGTTGTAGGATATTCGCTTGTACTGTGTTTCCATTTATCTGTTTTTAGCCATATGGGTCCATTCCACCATAACGTGTTGTTTTTTAATTTGGATGTTGTTGTTCCTCGCGATACCAGATCTGCAGGATTATCATTAGTACGCACATGGTTCCATTGTTCTTTTGCGGTCATGCTTGTGATTTGTGCCACTCGACTTCCCACGAAGGTTTTCCATTTGTTTGCGTCACCTTTTATCCATGCGAGTGTGATCATGGAATCGGTCCACGCGTACACTGTTGTTTTTGG